GCGAAGACGGGACTTCAGGTGAATATAGAGAAAACAGAGGTGATGAAGATGCCGCACCACCACCAACAACAAACTCCAGTCACCGTCAACGGGAGAAACTTAAAGGAAGTAACCTCCTACACTTATCTAGGAAGCACTGTCTCAACTACAGGCGGGACGGACGAGGACGTCAAAGTCAGAATCGGAAAAGCAAGACAGGCGTTCATTAGCCTGAAACCAGTGTGGAGATCTTCTGCACTCAGCATGCGGAACAAGATACGGATTTTCAACACCAACGTCAAGTCAGTGCTCCTGTATGGCACAGAGACTTGGCGCGTCACGAAAGGTATTTCCAATAAACTACAGAAATTCATCAACAACTGCTTACGCTCGTTGCTGAAGATCATATGGCCAGAAAGAATAAGCAACAAGGAACTCTGGGAACGAACCAACCAAGAACCTATCACGCAACAAATATGCAGGAAGAAGTGGAGATGGATTGGCCATGCACTGAGAAGGCCGACTGAGGACATCACGCGTCAGGCCAGTTGCTCGAGTGGAATCCCCATGGGAAGCGACGAGTTGGACGTCCGAGGGTGACATGGAGGAGGTCGTGCGAGGAGGAAATGAGAGCTTCTGGGCTGTCGTGGAACCAGGTTCAAAAGATCTCAGAGAACAGAATTCACCGGAGACGTGCTACTGAAGCCCTATGTTCCACTAGGAACCCAAATGACTAATAATAATAATATAATAATAATATACGGGAGTTTTTAATGAATGTCTGTAGTTTGTTGGAAATGCCTTTCGTAACGGTGGTAGTGGTTGGGTATTTCCATCACCTCTGTCTTCTCCACAGTCACTTGAAGTCTGTCCCGTCTTCGCTGCCTCGCCTCACCCCACCTCACCTCACCTCACCTCTTCTGTCAACTGGTTAGTTTTCGCCTGTAGATCTTCGAGTTTGTCTGACATTAGACACAAGTCATCGGTGACGAAATCCAAATATTCTAGGTTCCATTCCCCAGTCCAGCCAGCGTATACCCCCCTTCTCACAGCTTTCCACTGTTGTCTGCTGCACGATCCAGTCCACCACAATCAGGAATATCATGGGTGATAGTAGACAGCAATCTTGTCTTACTCCTTCCTGTCTTCACTTCACTTCAGTGGCATCACTGAGCTTCCCATTGTGCTGTGAATTACTTGGCTGGCATGTGGCGTCTTCATATAGTTGTTGAATGAGATTGATAAAGGTTTGCGGTGTTCCGTAGTGTTGAAGCAGTTTCTAAATTACCTCTCGGTCGCGCTGTCAAACGCCTTCTCAAAGTGTATGAAGTAGTGGTAGAGGGTTGACTGTCATTCTATACTCTGTTCTATGATGATGTGTAGTGTGGCGTTGCAATTTGATGTGCACGTGATTTATACTTCCTGAAGCCATCCATCCATCCATCCACCCAGCCAGCCAGCCAGCATGTTCCGTTCATAATTGTTAATGTAGAGCATGTTTCGGTCTCTCCAGGATGATGCGGCGTACTATTTTGCTTGGTTTGGGTGGACAGCAGCATGATTCCACGCCAGTGCTTGCAAAGGCTTAGGTCACCCTTCTTTATGAGTTTGACAAGGTAGCCCTTCTTCCAATCAACCGGCAGGTAACTTTCCTTCCTTCCAGACCTCCTGCAATGGTGGTGTGAGCATGTCCGCTGTTATCTCTGCGTCTGTTCTCACTGCATCTGTCGGGATTCCATCTGTTCCTGCTGCTTTCTTGCATTTCAGAAGCTTTATGGCTCTGAGGACTTCCACTTTGTTGGAGGAGTTAGCAATCTGTATATCCTTTACAAGTTGAGAGTCCTCCTTATCAGTTGAGTTGATACATTTAATGATCACAACCAGGAAGGAAAGAATTCCAATGGTTGTATTTTATTGCAAAGCTTCATTAAAAACTAAATGAACTACTGCAAATCGTGAGTCGGTATACCATACTGATGTCAAATTTCGCCAACCCTTACTGTGGTAGTTAACAGTGTTTAACTTTTCCCGTTATTTCAGTTACCGAATTGAAAATATCAGAGGCTGTCTCAAATCAATTATTAGTCCGTTACTAAAACTCAAATACTGCCATAACCTCTTCATCATGATACCATGTTTGAAACTTACTCTACTTCTAGGCCTCCTCTTTTTGAGTAATTTTAAAGTTTGGTTGCTGTTGTAGAACGTAATTTTATATCAGATCAGTCTGTTTGCTATTCACACAGTGATATAGTATTACTTACTGGCTGACTTTCTGAGTAGAATTTATTACTCATAGTCATATCAAGGTAATCGCACAACATTCAGTTGTTTTTCATTCTTTGATAGTAAAATCTGCTACATATCTGAGAGTGGTATTGCACGTGTTAAAGAGTTTATTTGATGAACCGAGATTCAATGATTAATATTTATCTCCACTGAACCACACTAGACTTCAGGACTATAACTCCCTCCCTAAACTAATAAGGCATGTCTCTCAGTGAGTTTTTAGTTTAGAATACCACCCTAAACCACTGCTACTGAGAATCTTACGTAGGGTATGTTATGTCCATACCTTATATGACAACATTATACAGACGCTGAATTCCGTCCTAGTCACGTTGCAGTAATCATTCATACACTTATTTATTACTGAATAAATTTAGAAAGATAATTATTGAGAGGTAGAGCTCTGCTTATGTGTTCTATTTCTTTATTTAAATTGTTTGACTTACTGGATTACTTCAACACTTGACTAAACCTACCTTCATGGATATAAGGTGAGATGACCAAAAGTCTGAACACGTGTTGCAATGAGATGATTTTCTGCAGAGAATAGCGTTTAAACTCCTCTTTTGTCACCATCTTAATTTACGATCTAAACTATTTAGTTCTCGTTGTTCATCTTATAAATCCCGCACTGTTTGAACTACAGGCGGCACAGGCACAGACGAGGATGTCAAAGCAGCCAGGATCATAAAGACAGTAAGACAGACGTTCATTAACCTGAAACCAGTGTGCAGATCTTCTGCACTCAGCACACAGAACAAGATTGGAATTTTCAACAGCAACGTCAAGTCAGTGCTCCTGTATGGTTCAGGAAGTTGGCGCGTTACGAAAGGCATTTCCAACAAACTACAGACATTCATCAACAACTCCCGTATATGCTCACTCATTACTGAAGATCAGATGGCCAGAATAATAAGGATAAGCAAGAAGGAACTCAGTCTGGCAACGAACAAACCAACAACCTATCACTCAACAAATATGCAGAAGTAAATGGAGATGGATTGGATTGGGTTGGGTTGGACATACACTGACAAGGCCGACTTGAGATATCACGTGTCAGGCCAGGTCAGGTCAGGCCGTCGAGTGGAACTCAGATGGGAAGTGACGAGTTGGGCGTCCGAGGCTAGGGTGACATGGAGGAGATTTTGCGAGGAAGAAATGAGAGGTTGTGGGCTGTTGTGGAGCGAGGTTCATAATATTTCGGAGAAGAGAGTGGAATGGAGACGTGCTACTGAAGCCCTGTATTCCATTGAGAACCCAAGGGACAAATACAATATAATAATAATAATCTTATAAGTCCCAAGTGAATTATATTCCATCGGTCACTTACTTTGTGTGTCTAAAGTAGCTATGCATCTGTTTGGATTTCAACACATTAAATGTTTCGGCCACATTTCTCCACCATACTTCGGTGTAGAATTATATGTTCTAAGAGTGAGACCTTTCCAGCTGTCCATAAAATTATGTACAACAATCGAGGATGTTGGCTATCTCATGGCTAATTGTTCTATTTGTTTACTCATTTTATCTAAGAATTCCAAGATTAAAGAGGTGAGACATAAGTGAACTCCGAACACGATGTATTTAGACAGTACCTTAGGTTTGTGAGTGATCTCAAGATCTTTGGGAAGTTCATTTCTGACAGCTTCTAAAGCCATGCTGCTTGGTACATAGGTATACAAGTTTTTCACATCAAAATGAATCTTTTCTTTATCCTCTTTTAGTTGAATATTGTCTAATCTTTGCTTCATTTCGAAAGAGTTTGGCTTCATATTGTTTTTAATGTGAAGTGTTCTTAGCCAACCCATATATTACTGAGGTTAAGAATCAATCTCAGAATCTCACAGCTACCACTGTACTCAAACCAGCCGTATCTTGATGTTTAACTGTTTATCCGCAAAACCGATTCACTCAGCTTTACTGTTAACAAAGTATTAATTTACTTCCAAACACTAAATGTTACGGACAGTTACTACGTGAATAAAGATGATAACTGTATTCACATTGGGTCACATTCACTTCTCAATAAAGCATTTTCTTCTTCAGCCCAAAAATACCGAATTTGGTGAACGGGGATATGACTGGTTTGTTGTTTGCTTTCATGATCATACCATTAGTTGGGCTAGACAATAAGACATCTGTTAAACATTTGTGTTACGAAGTGAAAAAAACATTTTTGCAAGTGACATTTACTTCTCATTGGCTTTTCCCTTCTCTTTTTAAACCAGTAATAGACTAGTATTGCTTTTACTAGTGTACAGACTTTTAACTAAAAACCCATTTATATGTACGTCTTCTTACATCTATAATTACCGTTTTATTCATCCCAAAATTTCAATGGAAATGTGTGAACACAAATTCCGACTTTTCTTGAGACCATTTTAGTTATCTATGGGTTGGTAGATTAACATTTATAAAATAGAACCATAACTAAAGATAAAGTACAACCAGTAACACGATTTGGGTTCATTGCCTCCAATGTTACGCGTCTAGATTTCTTTGCACTCATCAAAAATCGGTTAGAAAACTGAATTTGAAAAGGTTCTAATGAATCAACAATTTTGTACAAAACCATTCAATGACTATTTAACAGAAATTGTTGTAGCAAAAAGTTTAAAGAAATCCAGTCTTTTTATTGTTTGAATATATATCTTTGTTCCTAATTACATATCTGTTAGGAGTGCAACACATTAAAATAATTATGAAAGACAATATTAACAATAAGGGTAAATTTATATCCACCATTCCTTTCCTTGAACCTCTGGTTGACCTGTACGTCCAAACTGTATGGCCATGTCAGCAGTTTTCATACGTCTTGCACCTTTAGCTTCTCGTGTATTATAATCACCTCGTTCAAAAGTGAAATGACGACAAAACAGTACTAAGGCAATGATGGATAGAATCAAGATTACTCCAGAAACCACTACAACAGTTAATGAAAAGAAAATCAAAGAACTATCATTGTAGAAAATTTTAAAGAATGAGAAAACTTGAGATATTAAAACATTTTGTAGCATCTTTTATCAATAGGACTGATTTATTACAAACTATACTATTGTGGTATTCATTTTAGGGATATACGTATGGCTGACACAATTTTCTGTCAACTTATCCATCAGGTTTTTCAGTTCAACTAAGGTTTTCTGTAATTTTATAGATGAGTAAGACAACAATCTCTCGGAGAAAATTATTTATATACTTTACATATACAGTGTTCATTTTACAAATACTTTGTCTGTGGAGTATAAAAGTAGTATTTACAATCAACAGGGATAACAGATAAATTTATGAATTTGTACGTCTTTGCATGTTTCATAATTGTCCATTACCTTCAGGGGAAGTAAATTCTGAGGGTATACGCGTGAAAACCTTTTCAGATATCGTGGCACAGCTGAAGTATTACCAGTTCAAAAGTTCACACCATCATCATACCTTTAAAGAATTATGTTCAACCTCTCTCTTTGACACGTTCGTCAAAGAAGAATGGTCACTTTAAATAGTTCTCTAATGAGATATTTTGTAGTCATTTTGTTTTCTTCCGCCATTTTGAATGCCTGTCATTATACTATTATTATTATTATTATATTTTATTTGTCCCTTGGGTTCTCAATGGAATACAGGGCTTCAGTAGCACGTCTCCATTCCACTCTCTTCTCCGAAATATTATGAACCTCGCTCCACAACAGCCCACAACCTCTCATTTCTTCCTCGCAAAATCTCCTCCATGTCACCCTAGCCTCGGACGCCCAACTCGTCACTTCCCATCTGAGTTCCACTCGACGGCCTGACCTGACCTGGCCTGACACGTGATATCTCAAGTCGGCCTTGTCAGTGTATGTCCAACCCAACCCAATCCAATCCATCTCCATTTACTTCTGCATATTTGTTGAGTGATAGGTTGTTGGTTTGTTCGTTGCCAGACTGAGTTCCTTCTTGCTTATCCTTATTATTCTGGCCATCTGATCTTCAGTAATGAGTGAGCATATACGGGAGTTGTTGATGAATGTCTGTAGTTTGTTGGAAATGCCTTTCGTAACGGTGGTAGTGGTTGGGTATTTCCATCACCTCTGTCTTCTCCACAGTCACTTGAAGTCTGTCCCGTCTTCGCTGCCTCGCCTCACCCCACCTCACCTCACCTCACCTCTTCTGTCAACTGGTTAGTTTTCGCCTGTAGATCTTCGAGTTTGTCTGACATTAGACACAAGTCATCGGTGACGAAATCCAAATATTCTAGGTTCCATTCCCCAGTCCAGCCAGCGTATACCCCCCTTCTCACAGCTTTCCACTGTTGTCTGCTGCACGATCCAGTCCACCACAATCAGGAATATCATGGGTGATAGTAGACAGCAATCTTGTCTTACTCCTTCCTGTCTTCACTTCACTTCAGTGGCATCATTGAGGTTCTCATTGTAGCACAAGACACTAGACACAAATCATCATCGTTGGCGAAATCCAAATTTTCTTCTAGGGTGTTTTCATCGGTCCACCCATCTTCTCATCAGTCACAATTTGTCGTTTGATCCAGTCCAGTCCAGTGGTGTCGACCACAATGGGGAAGATGACAGGTGATGGTGGGCGGCAACCTTGACTTACTCCTGTCTTCATTTCTCTTCGAAGGGACCACTGAGTTGAGCTTTCTATTGTGAACCACTTGACATGTAGCCTCATCATATTGCATGGTATATAGGTGTTGTTGAATGAGATTGATAAATGTGTTGTGGTGTTCTGCAGTGTTGAAGCAGTTTCTAAACTACCTCTCTGTCGACTCTGTCAAAGGCCTTCTCAAAGTGCATGAAGTTGAGGTAGAGTCGATTTGACTGTCATTCTATACTCTGTTCGATGATGATGCGTAGTGTGCCGTTGCTATTGGATGTGCGGATGATTTGTACTTCATGTTCTTTTGAATGCTTTTAGATATCACGTAAGTTTTATCTGTCATGAAATTTATAGCGACCTCCGAAAGATAAATTACTCTGGAATGGTCTGTCGTTTCTAGTATGAATATACAGCTAGGAGAATGATTTCATCAAAAGGAAAAATTCTTTTTCACTGTAACCTATCTTTTTCTATAGATATAATCTTGAACTTTGCATGATAAAGCTTGTATTACAAGTTATTCCTCTCTACATTCACGCTATGAAATAATACACACTATCAGATCCTTTTCATCTCTTAAGGTGAGGTTTTAATTATTTTACGATCATCCTAAATTTGTATCTAGTTGATTATTTTCATGCCATTCATGTTTGGTAATCTGAATTTTATTAGACGATAAAAACATGATCACTTAATTATTTGTTTTATATACTGAGATAATGATCATTTAGTCACTCTGATTCCATTATATTAAGAAGGAAGCTAAAATATCCAGTCTAGTGTTCAGTTAACAAAATACCACTGCATCACTTCTGTTTGCTGAAGTTATATATACAATATAAATGCTATTACTATGATTGGTTGAGTACTCGATAAGAGTAGTTTATGCTCTTTTAATGTTGTTTTGATCTAGCATTGACTAACATAAAGAATACTGATTTCAATAAACAACTGACTAATGGCTTTCTGTGTGATTTGTTCACCATGAGCCATAGTAATCTCCTTATAGTATCAATAAACTAAGCTTTAGGTTCACTAGTGCACATTGATTAGTGATACATAGACTATTTGATAAAACGTTACACCATGTTATTAACAGAAGAGGGGGGGTAAATAAGGATCACCTCCAGCAATAATTCGTTTCTGTCGTTCTTCGTCATCTGTAAGTTTGGGTAGTGTAATATTTGGTGGAATGGCTGGCGATGGACGTATTTCTATAGGCTGTTCTTCTGGCAATATTTCAATAAAACCACATAAATCTTCACGGACAGAATCTGAAAAGTAAAAAAAAGGGTTTTTTAAACTGAAAATTTCTTACTTCTCAATATTTTTTCCTAAATTATTAAAATTAAATGTTTGAGGATCGATTTATGTTTGAAGCAGTTAAGTGTATAAACTTGTGACTCAGTAAAATGTAATTTGATAAAGGTTATCATAAACAGATTTGTTACCACCGTTTATTCTACAAAATTTCTACAATTTACCCTATAACATTTCTATACACATGGAATAGTGGAAAGATAATAAAAATAAGAATGATATCAGTAGTCGTAAAACACTATACAGAAAAATGAGAAAGAAATGAAAGTGGTAACGATGTACAAGAGTAAAACGTAGAGATTATGATAAAATGCAATTTCACTGTATGATTCACCTAATTAATGAATTAATAACGATATGATTTGATACTTTAGAGAAGACGATGAATGATTAGAACTGGGTCACCGGGATCGATTGATTGCCTCATCACCTACAAACTAAAAGCGTTTGATTCATCCGTTTTGACGACTTCAGGTTATTAAAACAAACTGAACAGTGACCTTGTTTTACACATAGATTTAGTTATAATACTCGCAGGAATATATAATTTAGCAAGAAAGAGTAACATAGATGATTGCATTAATAATGTGAAATAGAGTTGTCGGCCTCCAGTCCCTATATCCACTATTATAGACTTACTATAATACTTCAACTTCTCATAGACTGAATTTTCACTTCACTTATCTCGACTCCATTTGTTTATACTAGTGAAGTTGATCATTTTAAGTTCCTGAAGATGAATAGTAAAGTCATAACAAAGGAAATGAAGGCAAAGTTAGTCTAGTAAGACTTTTCGTATCATTGGAATTCTTCGACAATTTTAGTAAGCATTTTACCAAGTGGTTAGTCTAGGTCTGGCAAAACTGCTTGATGTTGGCTAAGCCTGATCATAGTCTAGGAGTGGTCAAAGGTTTAGTGATTTTCTGTGTGAAAGACGTTGAGATAAACTTATACAGTAACATGTAATTCCTGAAAGCATATCAATGTTGAATTTCTAATTGTGTCTTGAAATATTTCCAAAACTTGAAAAAATACAATATAAAGTTAGAAGTGTAAGCCGAATGGCACCATTGATGATTACTTTGATGTTGTATTTGTGTCATCTTAGCTTATAAGTGAAGAAAACTGAACTCTTGAGATAAATTTTAGTTACAGTTGAGAGAACTTAGTGCGTTACGGGTTTGAACATGAGCTTAATCGTAACACATGAAGGAAGATCCAGCTGACGAGCCCAGAATAGGACGAAAAGCACGTCGTGGATCCCATTGTTTTCCACAACCAAGTCAAATGGATTACATTCTCAGATAAAAAAGTTTTCATGTTGTTTAAGGAGATTTAAGGAAAAAATAATCAAGAAGTGAATTAATTCAGTGTTAAATTGTGTTTACTCTTCAAACACTTGGACAGAAATAAATGAAAAATGTTTGTAAGAGGACTAGTAATATAGTCACATAGACTATAGGTATTATTATTGGAACTTAACACGGTTTCAATCCCTTAGTAACAAAGATGTTGAATACAGTCACAAATCCTCCCTTCTAATTTATTACTTTATAACCTGAAACCTTACTATCACAACCTATTTAAAGTTTTCGTTATTCATTTATCAAATAACTGAACAACCATGCAGTGTAACAGAAGTGACAGTTAGTTCACTGCATGGAGCAGTATGTCACAATAGGTAGTCAACATCCAGGTAAAAGTTGGTAAGGTGATAGGCAAAAAATAACGATGTTATTTAATGATGGATGGTGGCTATTAGTGGAGTCCAGAACGCGTACTTCACCCTATTTAGCTCTAGTCAGTTGAATCCACCTATCTCCCCATGAGTGATGTTGTTCCTACTAAAGAAATAACCATGGCGAAAAGACTCTTTGTATGGAGAATGCAATAAGTGGTAAATAATACGCTATTCCAATGAGAACGCAAACCTTTGATATTTCTAATCTAAACAATGAAACGTAATGGGTCACAAACACTGAAAGTGTCTTGTTTACAGAAAGTAATTCAAAACTAATGCACTACTCAGAATCCCTGTGTATATAATTTTCTTAACTGATGGCAAGGATCTGCATATTGTTACTACTGATTTTCGCCTTTTGAAGACTATATATCACCATTACTAAGAGTATCATCTTCAGTATAGCTGGACAAGGAGGTGAAGCAGATATACTCCCTCTAGACCTAATTATCAAAGACTAGATCAGCTATCTTTCTGTTGACAAACCGAATGCGAAGAAGATAGTCAGTTAGTCGTCAGTATGAGATCTTATTCATCATAAATCATCTTTTTGAATGTTTGAGTAGGATATGCTATATTCAGTTTGTTGTGAAGCTGTGCTTTAATTGATTAGAAAATACTGAAGCTGTCAGGATATTGTTATTCTGTTTTATAAATGAAATAGTTAAAATAAGCCGTTCACCAGTTAAATAATTTCTGTGTATCCCGAAAGATGCTTCACATATACTGTTAATGAACATACACCTATATTTACAACTTTCTGTTATAACCATAGAAGACCAACCTATACATCACATGCAAACATTCTAGTATGAAAACCAGGGTACTTTATTGCAGTATGATATATGTCTAGTGCATTTATGTGATATATATAGCTACTTCTTAATATCATTTCTTGGAATACCAACAAAATTTTTTAGTGAATTGCTTTAATCAGAGTCTCGAACTGAAGAGTGACGAGAATACGGAGAAAATGAAAGTTTTAACTCATATTGCTTGTAATAAAATAAGTCGCCTAAAACAACATGTAAATGTATGAAAAATCACTAATTACCTGCTGGGACCATTTCGACCATTGCACTCCGTGGTTCTTCATAGGCCAAATGAAGTGGGAATATATTATTCCACTGTGCAGCATAAATACACCCATCGAAACCATCAGCTGGTTGCAAGGTGTCATTTCGACCCATGTACAGCACATATGGATCGTCTAACCTCACATCAGCTGTTGGTGACAGAAGACTACTGAAGTCTTCTACTACTTCATTGTAATCATCAACCTTTAAGGTGATGAAAAAGTAAATAAAACAGTTCAACTGAAGAGTTAGTAAATGGATCCAACAGTATTACTTGTTAGTGTGTTGTAAATGAAATTCAAGCCTATAAATACAATGTACCACATCTTCCTAACTCGCTAGGATGACCAAGGCCATAACTCTTCAAACACTTGATCTTCAGGGTTTAAATGTGCCGTGTATCTGGATGCTGAACAACATTAGAGTGTGCTGTTATGTGACTGAGTGGAGTGAGATGATGTTATTGAATCAAATCCTATAAGAGATTAGTGTTTAGGCTTACATAGAAAGACAGTCATTCTATGCCTTCAGCAGAAGTGAACTATTGTGTAGAGCAGAGTATAATTCTACCAAACATTCCTGTATAATATGATTTTTTTTAGATAATAATAGCTTTAGTATAATTGCTTGTATTATGCCGGTAGGAACAACATCACTCACTGGGAGGCAGGTATATCCAGCTAACGAGTCCCAAAAAGGATGGTGTGCATCCTGGATTCCACTGCTACCCACTATCTATCATTACTATAAATAATAGCTTTATGCTAAACAATTTATTTGATATAGGATTAAGTTCTCAGCACGTGATATTTTAGCAAATTCACGCCTATAATACTACTTCCAAACAAAAATTTTTGTATGTGGGTGATGATGAAGTTATTGACTAGGGTTGGATTAGCGTCTGGTTTATAATTGAGAATGTATTGTAGAATAAATATAGGTTTAGTGATAGCAGTTTATTTAGTCAGCATAAGAAAGTGCTACTTGAGATAGGTATCTGAGTAATAGAAACATTTCATGAATTCAAAAGATCATTTCCGACTATTATTATATTTCTTCCCTTGAGTTCCTAGTGGAGTATAGGGGCTTCAGCAGCACGTCTCCATTGCACTCTCTTCTCTGCAGTCTTCCCAACCTCATTTCACGGCTGCCTACAAGCTTTCATTTCTTCCCCACACCATCTCCTCCATGTCACCCTCGCCTCGGACTACCAACTCATCGTTTCCCATTTCCCTTCAACTCCATGGTCTGGCCTGACCTGCTGCGTAATGTCCCCAATCAGTCTTCTCAGTGTATGTCCAATCCAATCCATCTCCACTCACTTCTGAATATTTGTTGGGCGATTGGTTGTTGGTTGGTTAGTTGCCAGTCAGAGTTCCTCGTTGACTATTCTTATTATTATGGTTACATGATCTTCAGTATCCAGTAAGCGTAGGTGGCAGCTGTTGATGAATGTCTGCAGTTTGTTGAAAATGCTTTTCGCAACGTGCCAAGTCTCTCAACCATCACAGAGAAGTACTGATGTGACTGAGATTAGTGTTGAATATCCGAATGTTGTTCATACTTTATGCTGAGTGCAGTGGAGTGGAGTGGAGTAGGTCTGCACACTGATTTCAGATTAATGCAGGAAGGTCTGTCTTGCTGTCTTTCCGATCCTAGCTTTGATGTCCTTATCTGTGCCACCTGTGGTTGAAACGATGCTACCTAGGTGGGTAGATGAAAGAGACAACTTCCTTTAGATTCCTCCCATCGATGGTGACTGATGATAGGCGCTTCTTGTTTTTTTGTTGTTGTCGGTGGTCGGGTGTCTTCATCACCTCTGTCTTCTCTACATTCACCTGAAGGAAGTCTTGTCTTTCTTCACTGCCCGCCTCTTCTGTCAACTGGTTAGTTTTCGTCTGTAGATCTTCGAGTTTGTACCACAAGACACTAGACACAAATCATCATCGTTGACGAAATCAAAATCTTCTCCTAGGGTGTTTTCATCGGTCCACCCATCTTCTCATCAGTCACAATTTGTCGTTTGATCCAGTCCAGTCCAGTGGTGTCGACCACAATGGGGAAGATGATAGGTGATGGTGGGCGGCAACTTTGTCTTACACCTGTCTTCATTTCTCTTCGAAGGGATCACTGAGTTGAGCTTTCTATTGTGAATCATTTGACATGTAGCCTCATCATATAGCATGGGATAAAGGTGCTGTTGAATTATGGTGATAGAGGTTTGTGACATTAGAACCGTAGTATTGAAGCGGTTTCTAAACTGCTTCTCTGTCGGCGCTGTCGAACACCTTTTCAAAATCGATGAAGTTGAGGTGGAGAATTGACTGTCATTCTATGTTGTGTTCTATGATGGTGCGTACCGTTGCGTTACAATTTTATCCGTCTAACAAAACATTTTTCTTCTGTTTTCTTATCATCTCGAAAAACGGCTAGTTCAGGACATTTTTAAAAATCTGCAGGATTATCTGGTACATTTGGAAGATATATTTAAAATGTTAAAACAAACTGCAAGGAGATAATTTGATTTAAAATTTTCGACTGGAAATTTTATTGGGAACCTAAAGTTAAAGCAAACTTTCAAAACAAATAGACAGTAATTTAATTATTGGGGAGATGGGATTTTATGTCTTCAGCTTTGAATAAGCTCCTGGTAGTATCGAAAATAATATAACACAAATATATCATAACTGCAGCTTCTGTTGAGCAGAATGTAGAATATTCAGTCACTCATCAACTGTCCTATTGTTGTAAACTAATACTATCTACTCTAATGAGTCACCTATTTCGTTTACCATTCTACTAAATGATAAATATCTTCTACATTTGCAGATGTTTTTAGAATCGAACCTCAAAATGTGAACCATCATATCGAACCCCTGTAAAAAGTGACTTATGATTTCTTCACCTGATTAGTTTAGTGAAATGCTGACAAAACTAAGGCAAGTTATCTAGGCAGTTTGTAGATGCTGTATATTTAGCCTCTTATATGCAAAACATTTCAGAATGTAAAGATTTGTGTGTAGTCGGAAGGGTGGAGATCATAATTTAATTCCATTGATTGGTCACTGCAGAGCAATCAATTTCATGTTATCCAGTTCGTAGTACTGAACGAATGCTATCGATTATTTTGCAATGTGACCACCAAGCTAGCAGACCCACTGCTATAGTGCACTTCAAAAGATTTAAGTTGAATGGAGGGCTTTCCCTCTGATTGCTTGTGCTCAATTTATATGAATCAAAATGTTTCTTTTCGTTATATAGTGTAACTGTCTTTTTATAGGAAAACCTATTGAAGTTAGGTGGGCCATCAAATCCCAGTCGGTATACTGTTTCTGTTAGTTCCATCCATGCACACAGATATCAGTAATTCCATTGTCCATTGCCCAGTAATCATTCAGTATTTAGTCTGATTATCTAAACTAGGTGTTTGTATAAATACATAGTTATTATCGAGTTATTCGTAATTCATTAACGCATAAAATAAACACTGACATATAATAATTTCGAAATATGGTTACCTTTAAATGCCATTTGGTACCCAGATCTGTCCTCCATGCATACACCATATGGTGTTGGTCGTTAGTCAAGTCTATATCATAATTAGTTGTCACTTCGTATCGTTTGAATCCAACATCAAATTCAATAGTTATCCCGCCATTGTTATTTACTTTCACAATGATATAATTGCTTTCTCCTTCTCCTCTCATTTCAAGAAGTATACCACGCTTAGATTTTGTCTTGAAACCAACTTGAATGTATTCTTCTACAGTACCTAAACGATCTTTCGGTCTATCAAGCAAAATTTTCACCATTGGACCACTGTTGAATGTACCACCAATTTCTAAAAATTACAAAATTATCTTGTGAGGTCTTATACTACTTAATTTTAATTAAGTACCTTCAGCTTGCAGGTTAAAAAAATATAAGTTGCCTGACAAAGTACGCCATAAGTGAATAAATTGCCATTCAGTATGCACTTAGATAATCATAATTCCATTTATTTCACATATAGAATATACAGGGTTACGTATCTTCCTATAATTCGTCAGACGATGTTAGCGGAACATTTCTTTCAAGAAAATTTATTATCAATGATTTTAGCGATTTGTCAGACAACCGGCTGTTATATTCAAGTTCAGAATGATTCACACTGAAAAGCATTTCAGCATACCTCATCAGGTTAAAACATTTCATATAAATATTGTACTACGCGATTTTGATGAACAGTGAGATAGACTTATAATTCTTGTCAGACAAGAATTCATTGCCAAGGTTTGCACAGTGAAGATGCTTGGTTTTACTAGGACTCTTTAACCTTCTAAAATAAGCTACCATTCTGACATTCAACACGTTCATATAAATAGCATTTCATGGAGTACATTTTTGACTTGAGATGATGTACCAAAATTACAGGCTTCACTTCCAGTCACAAATACTGTAAATTGCTCTCTTAATGACTGGATTTTATTACGAAAGGAACGAACATTCATTAGAATGCGGAGTCTAAAAGCAATTGTTTTGAGGCAGGAAGATTTACAGCCTCTTTCTGGTCTCTCCCTCTGAAGTACCAACAATAACAGAGTTATATGGTTAGAAGTGAACCGAAACAGTACTTCGTTTTGGACAGACAACCAATAATATGCATACGCTATCTGTGACGGTTCTCGTCTGCAGAGACAGAGAAATAATGATCCAAGAACTATGCTTATCCAACTCAAATCACGATGAATACAAATAGAAATCCACTCGTGTTTATACGATCCTCATACAAAGCCTTCAGAGTGAACCATTAATAATTCGAGCTTCATGGAGCAAAATTAAGATTTGTGCTCTTAGTTTAAAAAAAAACATATAAATGGCTAATCAAAACAATCCAATATGTGGTAAATTGATAAAAATAATCCAGAGATAAAGATATTTCAACTTAGAGGTTTGTGCTTCTTAATCACTTGCTTGGAAATGAGATTTCTGGAAGCTAAAATCAGAAATCTTGATCGGTGGGCTAACCAAGTCAGACGCTAGGACAGACACTCAAAGATAGCATTGGATGGAGGTCGTGTTATATTGAGGATCGACAGAAGCAGGAAATATAAACCACAATGATCACTTGCTGGCAATGGAACCTAGGGGCCGTTGGTTCGATCCCTGACAGGACACTTCTGAAGAATCCCGAACCAGGATGAAACAGCCGCCGTTAGTTCCCTGATTCCAGTGGTTTTTGAACAGATATCAGTCCATGATGAAACCAAACCTGAAACTGATAAGTATATTTCTCACGACAGGAAGTGAATCGTAGGAGTAATCTCAATGGCTGCTTATTATCTGTACCTTGAAACGAACATTAATATTCAAGAAGCACTTTTGAAATGTGGTCACATCTTGTCATCATTTCTTGATTCTGAGACATCTAAGTGTTTGTAAGGTTTAACTTAGATGGACTGAACTCATCTGAGAAAATCACGGTGATTCCATTTCGAAACTAGGATATTCTCAACACCTTAAGTTGATTTTCTTATCGAAAAGTGATTTCGCTTTGATATATGCGTATGTGATACCAGTTTTAAAACTGATATCTTATGAACTTTAGGCCCGCGTTCACATTTCTCCAGAAGATCACTTGCGTTTTCTGAATTCCGTCATAAAAACACTTTCTAGTTTAGTCACACTTTTTTATTTAAACAACTAACAGAAGAATCTCTGATTACAACAGTCATTTTTATTTATGTTTTTAATTAACGTTACTGAATGGTTATCCATTCGAATGCGAGTCAAATGAGACATCATTCTGGAATAATTATACAGTTCTGTTAAGTCATTTCTACACTTCATTTCCTTGGTGTCTTTTTATGCTTAACGTTTTATGTTACTTATTAAAATTAAGTAGACTTAAAGGTATTTCGTGATTTTGTAGTTTTAGAAAGCAAACTTTTATTCAGAATGAAACTAGTGACTTGAAACGAGCTTATGTCAAAATGAAGTAGATATAACTACAGAAGTGAATGCACAGCTCTCAGAAGTACAGACAGAGACTGATCTAGTTATGCGAATAGCAAAATATTAAAGAATACCTGTACTTTTAATGATATTATTATTGTAATAGATTGTCAGAAATCACATCCGCTTGCAAATGAATTCATTTGGTAAATAACATAAGCAACAAACAATATAATAAGAGCTCATTAAGAGTCAAACAAATTCATGTGTGCAAAAAACTATTTAATGAGTAATACATGTATTAACATTCCGACATTTTTATAGTAAGTTTCGCATTACCAATGGGAACCAGGAAAGACATACTTTAAAGCAGTTTGATACCGCGTAATGCTAAAACACTGCTTGTTTTCCTACATTGAGACTATGATTATAAGTATCAGTGCAGTTAATTGTTTTATTGGATCCAACTGTTAGACTTCTGTTGGCATATGGGCTCCTCGATGTTGCGTGAATGTTAATTGCGGCAATTTGTTTGGTTGTGGCTAGTGGAAAAAATCTAGGACGCGCGTTTCGTCCCACCTGCGTCTCGTCAGCTTGATGTTCCTGCACCCCATTGAGTGCTGTTGTCCCCGCTGAGGCTCTAACCCCATACCCATCGCTTGAAATGCCAAGGCGTCATCCATTATGCTACGGAGGCACGGTGGTCACTCCTTGTACAACGGGTATTAGTTGTTACAACGGAGAATTACAAGTATGTCAATAAATAGTAATAACTAATATTCTTCCTATTATCTGTGAAAAATATTTCGAATTCACACCAGTAATATCCACCACAACATAGATAAATCGACGTTCAATAGTTCCAGACTTCCATCAGTTCTGCGACTCACCTCTATTCATCATGTAAGCTACCGTAAAATAAATGAAATCCTCAAAATGAACAGGTTTCATACTGTATGGTTGAAATCTGTAGGGGACAACTACTGACTACTTTAAATGTTGTAAGTAGTATGAATGTAGTGCAAAAGTGAAACTCACGTCGTCCGCATATGAATCCACGATACGGAGTCAATCCGCATTCACAAAGATAATGTGAATAATACTCAACACACTCCCCTCTATTCAAGCAAGGATTTTTATCACATTTTGGTTTGCATCCAGCGCTTAGGCCATAAGTGAAAACACCACGTTCAACTAATCCACGCATATCTTGGACAACACCATTGATTAGCAAATTTGATAAGCAACCAACATATCCGTCTGTGAAAGCCTGTACGTGAAAAATAACCAAACTTATTCATATGAAGTGTATTTCTTGGTTAAAAACTTCAGACGAAACACTCATTGAGAAGGACTTTCAGTTTTACATTAATATCAGGACTCTCATAACACTGAGATACCCAGCTGTTAGGTCAATATTTCAATTCAGCCACCAAAGGATCCTTCCCGACTGGCGAACCGGTAATTTGGAGGCTTCTGGTTCGAAACATACCACGAACTAAGTTTCCATTTCACCTTCAGTCGTCACACTGCTTATATATATATATATATATATATATATATATATATATTTCCAGCTAGCTAATCTAATTGACATGGTTGGTTGCATCAGACGTTTGCTAGTAAAACTATCACAGCCTTAAGTATTAGTGCCAGCTGAACAGGAAGGAATTGATCACCAAACAAGAATGTTTGGACAGACGTATGCATAAAGGCAAGTTTCTTGATCCATGTAGAATGTTTTATTTAAAAAATTTTATTATACTTTCCCTTGACTGATTACGTAAATGACATAACTAGAAAAATTCAGTTCATTTAACTAGATCGTTGAAACTGATTGGGCACCAACTAAAACTGAGGCCCAACTGATAGAAACTACCTTGAAGCAGTGTATAGGCCCCTATAACACTGACCTAACGAGTTATGCTGGTGGGACGCTTGTTCACTTGAGTCTCTACCACACCAAGAATGTAAGCTGGAGAGTGGTAAAACAAACAGTTACCGTTGTAGTGTAAGTTGCTACGCTGAGATTAGAATCCAGGGGCAAATTCGTACCGCTGGTTGGACGGAGTGTGGCAGCAGTAATCTGTCTCCCTTGGATAAGCAGCAGTTCTGTGCTGATGCTGCCTTCCTTATGAGAAGTGGGTTAGAAAGGGTCGGCCCTGAAAACAGAACATACACCCACCCTGAGATTTTCCAGTGCCGGTGGTACGGTTTTAAGGAAAACGACAAACTAAATTCTCAAACTTCCATAAAAACTGTCAGTGACCGGCATCAAGCAGATGTTTATTCGGCTCTGCAGTCAACTGCCCTCACAAACCAGTCAGTCTTCAATTTTCCTCAGATCACCGTCCACCTTCCACACTCCTTACTTCTAGTCTCTCAATCAATACTCCTAATTATTCTTTACTTCGTTCCAGATCTTCAGCTCCCAATATTGATCTAAGTTCATAAAATTGTGTCCTTGATCTAATGAAACCTCATTTTAAAATACACATTTGGGCTCCCAATGTTCGCCCTCTCTGTCACAACGCACAGTAAGCTTCGTTAACCAAAACTCCAGCATCTTTGACAATAAATGTGTGCTTTTTTGAACAAATATACTAGACTCAAGTATGGTTATTCGCCTCATCTTACTAGGTCAATGTGGCGAATTCACAGAATTCATTTTTCCCGTTTCACGTGATTCAACGTCTAGTTCTCACGGTCTTGCATGGATAGATTATGCATTAAATGCTAAGGCAGAACGTGTACTGCTGAACTGGATCCTAGTTGATGATGAAACTCAATCTGATCTCTTTGTGACCTCTTCTTACCTACCAATTAACTGCGGTTCGGATGAAGTGAAGGATGAGTTCTACCGAAAAATGTCTTGCCTCCTACTGAAGGTCAAGTGCTCAGACTTTGCAGTTGTTGCATACGATTTTATTGCACAAGTGGGTAAGCTGAATCAGGTGGAGAGGTACAAAGGTGGAACTTTCAGAATCTCAGCGAAAGAACACATAACACTGCCTAACATGACAAACAGGTATCTATACGTGACCAGTGCGAACTTCAGATATAAGCACAGACACTGTCTGATGTAGTATCCACCGAACTCAACGGTGGACACAGACAGACCAATGATGCTCTCAGCTATCGTTGAAGAATAACAATGCAAAATTGCCCCTCCTTTGGATGCATATGTTTGGACAACGACCATGCAATGGTTCCAGCTCAGGTATGTCTCGGCCTAAATGAACGTGGGAAAACTACAGTAATAAGAGAATTCCAAATGTAACCCAATGATGAAAATACTAAGACCGCTTTCAGCAAGCAACTGGCTAGATAGTTATTAGAGTAGGAAAACATTTATTCAGAATAGGCCTGATACCATCTCCAGTTTGCTGTACAAATAGCGTTGAAGACTGTAACTGACTCTCATAAATTCATTAAAACTGGCCACCGAATCTCAGTAGCTTCTTCTGAACTAATGGGTGTATATGAAAGCATTTCTTCCAGCACGACGAAAGCGGAATCATTTAAAATGTAAACTGACAAAAGGTCTAGGCAATGACCGTGGACAGTGGAAGGCAGCGAAGGCTAAAGAGACTGGTAAAGCAGCCACGATGAGTAACAGTAAGCATCTACTTAGAATTAGCAAGAATACTGAGGCAAAACGGTCAAAAGTTAATAAAACTGTGGTGAGGGAGGATAGACCTACGGTTCACTCACATGAGGGACGAGTGGGACGATGGGTGGAACACTTTGAGGAACAGTTCGTCTGGCCTTCAGCCACTATCACATTACCCGATAACCAGTCATATCGTGAACAGAATGTCTAGATATGACCTCTAGCACTTTAGGAAATTTTGGAGGCTGTAAATAATCTGAAAAAAGGAAGATCAGTAACGGTGAACTAACTGGTACCAGAGGTGTTTAAGGACCGTGATCACAGATTACTGGTCACATTAACTGAACTGCTAGTTAGTGTATGAGAAACATATATGACCGCCTCTAACTGGTCTCAATCACTGGTTGAGCTCATCTCTAAGGAAACGGAAAAATTCCTTTTTTAACGACCACAGGCGAATCACTCTGGAGAACGTATTGTTTAAGGTCTCGGGTTCCATAATTATCGGAGGTTTAAGTGGAGGAAAACCCAACATGAACACCCACTCTCTGAACTGCAAATATTTCCCATCCCTAAAGTCTTTCACACCCAATCAACATACTGCGAATCGGTTGAAATGACAAAATCAATACATAATACTCTTCTATCAAGGCGTAGAAATAACCAAGGCTATCGTTCGAATACGTATATACACTGTTGTATTTTGTTTACCTTCTATCATCTTACTAAGTTTTCGATTCCCAAGTAATCTAGCGACTATCAAAGGTGGAATCAGAAGGTTACTGTTCAAGCATTTGTGAAAATATATCACTATATCACTACTTGATTTCGTAACGAAAAGTATACTTTCCTCAGATTATAAGAATTAAGACAGTGCTACACTTTTCAGCTAATGAATTTGTATCTAACTATGTATGGTGTTTTATTACCTTAGTGTCAACTTTGGTGGAAAGATGGTGACTTAGTCCCTAACTGCATGAGACTACCAAACCCTTATACAACTTACTGAGTAATATAGACCGTTTCTAGTAAAAGAAACTTCAGGATGATTTTAATAGACATACATACCTGAGTTGTACCAACGTAAAGTGGTTGATCAAAATCAAACCCACGAAATGAACGTTGTGATGATTCAACTATAACAGATGGTTCTTGTGTATCCACAATTAAGCGTGTTTCTTTACGATTGCGTTCAAAGCGTACAACATGCCATCGATTATCATTAAGCCAGTGTGCCGTAGTCACTTCTGTCAACTGAATTCCATTGCCAACATTAAAAGCAACACGTAGTGCATTACCGTCTAAAAAGGATAGAAATTTCACAAAAAATTAAGAAGATAACTGATTTATATCAACCTCCATTGCCAAACAAGAATAATCCATCAAAGAACCAAATAACTTACAAAACCCTTCAGTCAATGAAACTTAAATCTCATTTCAGTCGCTATATTTGAGGGCTGAAACTAGCTTAGTTGGTTTATTTAATCATGTAAAAGGTTGTGTATTTAAAGGTTAATGGGGCTTTTATCTTTAGGGTAACATTCATCATGGACTGACGTCAGTCGGGGAACCACTGAAAACTTGAGAGCACTGGACAGCTATTTCGTCCCAGAATGGAGCTCCCCAGCAGTGTGTACTCACGACTCCCCTGCAGGTTGAACTTAGGACCTGCAAACTTCACGACGAACGAGTTAATCACTAGGTCTACATTCACTGGTTCATAGTTTCCTACTTCTGTCGATTCACGATATAACACGACTATCACCCAACGTTCACTGATGCATTGTGAACATCGAAACGAAAAAGACATTGATCAGTAAAGAAGCCAGTTCTCCTAACTTCTTACCATACCTTAAAGAAATCCTTAATAGTGTCAACAATGATCATTTTGTGAAGAGATGGAAATAACATAATGGTATAATATGAAAGATAGCAAATCGTTATTACGTAACAAAGATATCCGAACATAAATTCATAAATATACGTCAAAAGTGCTTGTTGTTTTAGTAAAATGAGGTGTAGGAACAGAAGCATTGTAGGCGAAAAAGCGAAAGAGATTTTAGTCAATAAATTCGAAATGAAACAAAAACAGCCAGTAAAACGTCTGTAAACATTTGCCTCAACTTCAAAGCAGATGGAAATGCAGAAACTATTAGAAGATGATTGAAAACATTACCGGTAAGAACTTCCCTTACAGCTAGGTTAATTCCTGTGTACCAAACAGTGTGCTCTTTAGACCAATCAAAAGTCATCTGGTACCCTTCCTATCTCACCTTCAACTGTGCATATAATTTACGTGTAGCTGCTGAAGCAGATAGATTGGAAGAACAAAAGAACGGCTTATGTCAGACTTTCTGCATACATTCCAAAAAGCCTACAAAGGAAGGGAAGTAATACTTCGAACAGTGCAATCACTAGGCATCATACGCCTTAAACCTGTTCAAAAGGACTTATAACCAACCTTTGTCTACCTTGGTAACTAATCTCGAATGTTTTTTGATTACATCATGTTTTACCAGCCTAAGATGTCTTTTCCTTTACTCTTATTTAGCCGCATAATCTTGCTATATATCCCTAATTTTTCATAGCTTTTACCTTCTGTTTTGTCCATCACCTTGAAACAACCTATATGACTGTTTTCACACCGCTACTACTTTTCTTCCCTCTGCTCTCAAGGCTGAACCCTCATTGGTTGTTAACTATTTTTACCTATATGTGGATTTAGTGTTATCAAGGTCATTTCGAAATGTCGATATTTAGCATCGTTGTCAGTTGCAATGACTGCTATAATTGCTTGTATTAAACCGTCGTTGACTGGACCGAATTGATTGGTCTCTGCTGGCACAAGAATTGGCCATTGTGGCTTGGTGGCGTCGTTTGAAGCGATCGCTCCCGAGTTCGAGTATCGGTGGGAGTAACACCACTCACTAGGAAGATGGCACAACCAGCTGACGAGTCCCAAACAGAACGAAATCTGCACCCTGTATCCCACTGTTAACCACTATCTACCATTACCGCAATGACTGTTGTTGAGACAGTAAAATCTCTCTGTCAACGATCTGTCTTCTCTTCTTGTCTTCGTGCGTCAGCGGTATTGTTGTGTTGGTTGACGTTCTGATTTGCGTTAGAGTCGATTTACGGCGCGTTAGGTTCGTATTGCTCGTAATCTCCTAGGCTGGTATCGCTCGTAGAGTGTTAGGTCGTACTACCGGTCATAGCACATCTGTTGTTCATGTCAAATGCTTAAATAAATGGTCTGAACTCACAATATTTTGCTTATTGATTGTGTGACGTACTTAGGTAATCTTAGAGTGCTAAGTCCTTATATTTGGGTTGCTACTCTTGGAGTTATTTATGTTCGATAAAATTCTACTGGACTATGTATATAATTGTGATAATTTGTTACCATTGATTAACCATACTTGAATCTGCCATTATGACTGACCTTAACTCTATAACCATTTCCACAGCTCTTAACCACTGGTCAATATTCTGCTTTAGTCCTGTGAATTAAGCAACTGAAAAAATACCACCGAAATAAAGCACCTTCGTTTTGTTCTGCTGCCATTGTTGTTCTTGCTCTTTTAAGTGGAAATAGATTGGAAAGAAAATTATCAAATGTAAACTAAAGGCATGGTAGCAGTAGGAGCTAAAAAAAACACTTATGCTCACACGAAGTTCAGGATTCTCTTCGTGGATAGCCACAAATTCTGCTGTGCAAAAGTATATGACTGAAATCTTTTTGAACGGCTCGGTATCACCTTATGTATTACATCGAATGAGTCATGTCCAGATGTTGCATCACGTTACAGAACAATATATTATAAAATAGAACCGTTTATACATCTGGATTCTGTTTTCTATAAGTATCCCTATAAATTGTCATCAACGCGTCTTGATAGTGTCCTGCTGATACAGCCTGTACACTCAACTCAACAAAAGAAAGTCATTTTGTTTACTGTTCATCTTTTTCTTTTCAAACGTAGGGTTCTCTTTAGATTTGAATTCAACCACCGAGTGGATGTATCGAACCTATCTATAAGTATCGTTCCTTTTGGATAATATAGGAGTTAGTCAACAGTAATATCCTAGTTTCAGTTTAATTCGAAAGTATATATGAAATTGGCCATTAATTGGTAGATCTACACCATATTTGTACTATTAAAAGCGTATAAAGCAGTTAGGAACAGTTAGAAAACTATAACATAAAGCAAAACATATTCATTATCATTTCGACTATCTGAGATAGCTGTGGTTTGGTAGACTAGTATTTATACTAGGTGATGATTGAAAGTGAAATGAAAATTTGGACCGCAACCGGATTCGAACCAGCAACCATCGGGTTTCCAGTCCGATACTCTACCAACTCAGTTAGGAGGTCCGATTGTTGATCACACTTTTATTTCACTTCACTCATCATGGGTTTTGCCTGATTACCAAGATGACCGAAGTGAAATAAAAGTGTGATCAACAATCGGACCTCCTAACTGAGTTGGTAGAGTATCGGACTGGAAACCCTATAGTTGCTGGTTCGAATCCGGTCGTGATGTAAACACTCAAGAAATCATTGTATGAATACTTACTTCGAATACGAACTTCAAAGAATTGTTTTGATGCACGTCCATTATTTTGCATAATTACTGCATCTGTAATAGTTGTCCTAAATATAAATGACATATCAAATGCAAATTCTGAATACAATGGTGGTAATTCAAGATTTGCATCCACTTTTCTAAATGTTACAGTATTATCAAATAAAATATCGCCATAACATCTTAATGGTCCAACTCGATATGCTGCACGTTTATCATCGTTAATTCCACCAGTATCACCAAATCTAACTTCCATAACTGGTAAATGATCCTAAAAAAGAAAAAAACCAGCAATTTAAAAAACTATTACAGTCTGATTTTATATTCGCATTGAAACCCTTGAGACAATTCAGACTTATAAGAGTTTAATTATATACAATTTTGACCCTAAATTACAGACTCTGTGGTATCATGAATGTTACTTTTCAAAACATCTTGATTGTAGATGTTAATAACTTCAGAAAATTTCGATTTACTCTTGAAATAAATAAATAAATTGGAAGTTCTGTTGATCATACAATTATTTGCAAAGATAATCTACATTTACAGGCTCGTAGTATTGCTAGGATTTATAGGAATTCCCTTGTGAGCAATGGTGAAGTCAGGCGAAGAGTTTCAGGCAAGATATGCAAGTCGATTGATGAGGTTGTGAACCTTAGTCGACTGAGACGGCTTGGACATATACAGCTAGGGCCAAGCCACTGCCTACCTCAGCGTCTCGGGCTAGGGGAAGTTGAATTAGGTTAGAAGAGGGCTTACGATGGCCAGACTAAGATGTGGTACCAGTTGATGAAGTCTCTGACTACTAGTCTAAGCCATATGTACAGAAAAGACTACCTGAGTGAGATCCTTGAGATGATAGGAATCAGTGGTTGGCAACCCTTGATGGCGTGAGTGAAAATGGGTCACAATGACGTACATGTACTCATTCTTTGATGTCTTTTGAAGCTTGAATTTCTGCGCTAATTTATATCTTCACATTTTGTGTTCTCTCGTACAACTTTTTCTACTTTGATATGAGTTTTTTCTATCCAATTCTTTCTTGTATACTATTGGGAGTTATGGTGATTTGAACCAATGTCTTACATTTAGTTCCCTTGACAAATTTGAACAATGCAAAATGAGCTCATGCACAGGCTTCTGAAAAATCCAGTCCAGTGTTCCTCTGAGACTCATTCTGTCCATGATAAATTTACCTTGTCGTAAAGTGACTCTCTGGTAAGCAGCGGAATTGGAAGCCATCGAAAAAAGGTTAGCAAATCACAGCTTGAAAAATAAGTTCCAATTCTCTGAAGAATTGGATAGATTAGATATCTCAGAAAATTCATGGTATCATTTGATGTTTCCTCATTGTTTACGAACATACCAGTGGATGAAACTATAGACATAATCTGTGAACAGTCTGATTTACTACCATCACCGAAAATAGAACTCAAACAACTACTGCTCCTGTGTCCAAAATAGTGGTGGCTATGGGTTCACTACTAGGGACTACCCTAGTTGATATATTCATAGCTCATCTCAAACTAACACGTCTGAACTCTACGATCAAGGAAACTACATATTACTGCAGGTATGTCGATGATACTTTCATTGTTTGCGATAATGAGACATGCATTAAAGTTCTTCGATACCTTCAGTCAATCCCATCCAAATATGAACTCTACAACAGAATACGAAAATGAGGACAGAATCAATTTTTTGGATCTGAGTAGAGGACGGAGATGTTATAGTGCAGTTGAGAAAACTATCCATAGGAGAGACACGTAAATTGTTCAGTAACTTCACTACCACAGTTTCTGTCCTGTAAGCGTGCTTCCAACAGGACGCTCTTCACTACAATAAGAACGATAGGCTCGAAAGACAAACAGGTAGAAGAACTCAGCATCACTGAAAACTTCTATCGGGAATAGATTTCAGAAGAAATTCACCATGAAGGATGGAAAGGAATTTACTGAGAAACCTGAACACCCAACTGTTGAGAAGAAGCCTGTTTTCCCTCGTCTATCATTCAAAGATGATGAGATATCTGAAAGAATAGAGAGAAGCATAAAAGCTACAATGAGAACAGCTTTCCCACTGCCAGACCGACATCAGTTTACAACACAGTCGAAAGTGGACAAATGCCTATCTCATGTCACCTCCTATTGTGTATATCATTTCACCTGTGCTTGTGGAAGCAAGTACATAAGACGGACCGAAGGAAGTGTGTCTAGCAGATTTTATGAGCATATTCCGAGAAATCTGTATCTGAAAGGTAGCAAGGTCTTCACCAGAGCGACCACCAGACACCTGATGGAAACAGGACATCAATTAGATGTTTCTCAATCCTTCAGGATAATCAATAAACAAAGAACAGTATGTTTATTACGGTTTTGTGGAGCTCTCCCCATCAAACATTTTCAAGTTGACCAATGTACTCAAAAGAGACTGTAATTAATATTGCTTTACCTACTAGCTCTTAAACAGTCCCTTCTTCTGCGCTGATTTCAGTTTGTTATCCTCCCACCCCGCACTCCATAGCTCCAGAATTTTCTATCTCATCAGATATAAATTGCCATTGGTTTTGACAAAGACTTGAAGTTATTCATTCTGTTTCATTGACTCATCACCTTACTGTTATTCCTGGATTTATTTCTACATATTTAAGGTATGTTATGCCATTATTATTATTTCCACCTCACTTCAATTGAAGGCTGTTTGCAGCTGATGAAAGACTATGAAATAAAATGAACTCATTTTATTCTGCAAATGTCTTTGTTCTTACATTTTTCAAAACTGAATCAATGTACTTGTGTTCAAGCTTCTACGTTGATTTTATTTCTCTGACATTCATATGTGTACATTTGAGTGAACAGTTTCAATCGGGTTTTTAGTTTTCATCATATTGAATCCTCCAGTTTCTTTTTCCAACTCATTCTTAAGCTTCCTCCTGTGGTAAATCGTCATTTTAGGTTGGCAAATTTTAACTTCTGATCCATCAAAAAATGTCTTTTTCGGTAATTTACCTTGATAATTAATCCTCTGGGAATCTTAGACTGGTAGTTCATGAGTTAGTTGACTGCTCTATACTGAAAATAACGCGTATGACGCTTGCGAATAATGAATGGTGAATCACATAGTTAGAAATCCTAGTCAGTCGTACCACTCCCATTTATCAAGAAAATCTAGGCCTATAGACTTTCCAGTCACCTATAAAATATGCATGAAAGAATAGTTGCACTGACTGGGAATAATCTTGGGTGATAGAACATACTTCTTGTGTTCCATTGTTTCAACTGTACAACATACTAAATTACAAACCCATATGTTTTAGGTAAAAGTGATTGTACGTAAGCCATTTTTGTGAGAACACAAAACTATATCACCTTAATTAAATTACAGTAAAATGAAAAACAGTATGAACGAAATTTAAAAAAGATTGTTCGTAAGTATTTTCCACCGTATATAGTGCACTATGGCGTTTGTTCATTTAGTCTAATGACCTACTTCATAACTGGATTGATCAAGTCCTGTCAATGCCAAGTGATAAAAAGACAAGTGTTTACCAAAAGCTCGAGTGGCTGAATTTTGTTTTATCCTCACTTCATGGTATATCCAATAACTTTAGATGGAATTTGAGTGAAAACAGTATTTCGGTCAAGATATGCAGCAGTAGATAGGATCTACTGGACTTGATGAATATGCATGTCACTTTGACGAATTATTTAACTAACAGGCAGATCAGTTACCCATAGACTAAAAGATGCTGTGCCAATATAATAATAAGACAGAAGTATAGTTATCACATCGTGAGCTACAGCAAGACTGAATTTCATAGACTGGGTTAGGTCCCTTCAGGAACTATATGCTGATGAGCAGTCATCAATCAAGTAATCTAAATCCAATGTATTGCAGTCCACTTGGTGACTGTCAGTGCAATCCTGTCCGGTACTCATTGGCTGGATGGGCCTGTCTCTCAGTGGGCGGTTTGTCCCGCTGGGACTCGAACTCAGGACTGATAGCTTCAAACACCAGAGCGTTATCCGCCAGACCACCGAGAAACGAAAGACACTTCTCGTGCAACGAATATAGTTTTAATGTTGGTAATTGTAGTATCCTGTCTTTAAGTGGACCGAGTTGATCGGTCTCTATTAGTATACGGGCTACCACGCAAATACCGCAATATTGTCTGTATCTGAACTATGTATTAATGATGGATCGTCGCTGAAAGTGGAGTCCAAGACGTGAGATTCGTCCTAACGAGGGGTCGCAACAACATTAGAACTATACGCATGGCACAAGAAGTGCCTATTGTAACTAGGTGGTCTGATGGATAACGCTCTGGTGTTTGAAGCGATCAGTCCAGAGCTCGAGTGCTGATGGGAATAACATCACCCACTGAGAGGCAGGCCTATCTAGCTGACGAGTCCCAAATAGGGCGAAATGCTCATTCGGGAGGCCATTTCTAGCTACTATCCATCATTAATATATATAATTGGAATAGAAGCAATATCGGGGCGTACACGCAGGAACACATATGCCAAAAGAGACTGATCAATTCGATCCACTCAACGACGAGATAATACAAGCAACAACATCAGTTCAGATAGTCAGCAGATGAGAAGAAGCATTGTTTCAAGGCAGGAAGCCACTGTGAAAATGTAAATGTCCTAGAGATTCAAAGTTCTTAGCATACACTGTCAGAAATACCTCAGAGGTATGACAAATACTGAAAACGTAAACATATATTTCCTGGAGAACATTTTTAGACAAACGATAGAGATTTTCACATATGGATTTCATTTCTGTTGATAGTAATCAATGAAGTATATCTCCAACTTTAAGGAGACCCATACTTTGAAGTATAAAACTCAATGAGCAAATCAGTTCCCCCTGACACAGCCATCTCATATTTCATATTTCTAAAATTCAGATTACTGTTTTTCACATTAGAGTTTTATAACAATCTTTGAACAAACTTTGGAGAATATTTATGAATGTTTGATGAATACGGAGATGGTAATAGTGATGAAGACTGTCACAATTTTATCAATAACTGTAAAATATCACTTATACTGAAGAAAATTTGTAAACTTAAAATATTTCCAATGCCCAAAAGTATTCCAGTAGAAAGGATAGAATGAGAAGTAGTTTGTATAATCATTAGTATGTTTTGTCAGGATTAGCTATATGTGACATGTTAGATTTTATAGACCATCGATGTTGTTAAATGAGAAGTATTTGGCAAGAAATATATCTCGAGAAGCGATGTATTATAATCTATTAAGTTCTAATGTTTAAAACGATGACAAAATTAAAAGCATACAACACTTGGCTAGAAGAAATATTTCCACTTTATAACGTCAAGAACTCATTAGATAAAATTGAGGAATAAATAATCTTTAATGAAACCTTAGACTTTTAAGTGAATTAAGATTTCATATTGATGACCAGTTCAAAATGTAGATGAACTTAATATTCACAGATTCCTTTAAAGACTGTCAATTTGTGATCAAAACTTTAACCACAATTACTGAGATTACCTACACCACTAAAGTAAATAAAATCAACTATTCGATAGTATTGGGGTTCGTCGGATATATCCAATGATGTTAAAAATTTCAATGTAGGGGGTAATAATACTTTACTTACATAAGAGATGTTTCTAAAACGTAAAAATATATTTTAAAAAAAGAGAGAGATAAACTTCAAACTTCTACCGATATATGATGAGTTACTCACCTTAAATTGAAGTAATCCTGTATCAACTAGTGGTGGCGTCGCTGAACCGTCACTGTCACAGTTACATGTTAATGAATCACCTGTACATGTACCTTCAACACCACATGCACATTTCTGTAAACCAGGTACACCTCCACCCCAATAAAACTGTGGTCTGCCTTCTTGACTAACCCACCATCCCCAAGCGCGATTCTCATAAGTAGTTCCACCTATGAAGTATTACGAAGTTAAAATATTTTCAAACTGAACAATATTTATTTTGTTAAACATCAGCCTAAAAAATGATGAAACAAATTAACTGAAGAAAATCGCTTCACAACACTCTTCAATAAACTCAAAACACATTCGAAAAGAAGTGTACTGTATGGTTTTGTTCTCTGTTATCAGATCACAAAATAACTAATTTTCAACTTTATTAGAAGGTGAATTCACAGCTTTAGGATTCCTCACTCAGCTTTTTAGCCTCCAATTCTGTACACATTAACAAATAAGCCTTGACAGTTATGTCATAGTAATACCAGTACTTCAGAAGATGAATGATTTAGGCTAAGGCTCTGTAAAACAATCTATTCAAGACATGTACACGCAGTATTGTGAACTACATTACACAACAATTCATTTCGAAAAAGTGGCAGAAAAATGACTATGGATTGAAATGACTAGTGAGCTATCATCTTGGTGCTCACTAAGGCATTTGTAGGAGCAATGGGAATAAATCCCTTTTTGAATTTTCAAACTGTTTGAGAGTTTGTTTAAACAAATTAATATTTCAGGTTGATGCTCATCATGTACTGACATCAATTGAAGAAGCACTGGAAATCTGGGAATACATGACAAATATTTCATCTAAGTATAGGATAACTAAGCAGTGCACCTCCAGGACCGCACCAGGGATCGAACTCAGGACCTTCAATTTTCATGGTGAACGTGCTGATCATTCAGGCACTGGGTTAGAATCCAATATTCCATGTCTCCTACCTATGTCAGTTCACAGTATAGCGTGACCTCTATCCAACGCCATCATTAAGTAACTGTCCTCATGTTCTACTTGGTTCTCTCTACCGTTCATGGCCTCTCATTACAACTTTCTAAATCTCGTCTTGAAACAAGTCATCAATAAGCACTAGACATTGATGCAGTCTGAAGGTTTTGGGGGATGTATTTATTGATTTCAGGCCACTGGTATGAACTGCTGGGGAGTACCATACTAGGACGAAACGGTTATCCAGTGCTCCCAATTTTCTAATGGTCCTCCCACTGATATCGGTCCATAATGAACATCAACCTGAAGTCAATAAATAAATCCCCACAGACCTCCAGACTGAAATTAATATTTTCCTGATTATTGAAGCATTTTAACTAGTCTGTTTGAACCTATTCTCAGTAAAGTCTAAAATAACTACAGTTCAAGTTCTTCCCATCACCATGGAGTAGAATAGGCAGTTCAAATCTATTTCGAAGTAATGAATAAAATGACATTAGGGCTTACCTCCAGCAGGGAGTTGAAGAAGTTTGGCATTCCAACATTGATAAGTAAGAGACTGATCGCATTCAACTGCTCGGCGTACCAATTCCCCTAGGGTGTCCCTATCAGCACGTCCATATTTTAGTTTTCGTCTGTACGAACCAGGAGCCTGATAACCATCAACTATAATATCATCTGGAGCATCATGATGCAACGTGGTCATTACGGTATTTTGGTCTGAAATAAAAAATTAGCATAGTTCAACAATCACTGACTTAAAACTGATCACAATAACATGAAAAGCTCTGATCTCTTGCCTACTAAGGGTACTAAAGTGATACTGAGATCTTACGGTGAAAGTTTTATTATGAACGTTCAGTGGATGCATATCTGGCGTCGAAGAGAAGAAAGATTGACTAAGATTTGTAACCCTTATGATTTGGAAAGATTCAACTGCTATTAAGCAAAATAACTATAGTATGAAACAACAGACATCAGTTTAAAGTACACTTCAAGATCTCAGACGACATAGGAATCGATATGATAAACAAAAGCACTGCTGTTTTTAGACAGAAAACTTTGAGTTCGATAATAATTTTCATATTGAATAAGAAAAGGAAAAATGATTTGCAAGGATCAGTGGAATTTGCCCAGCATTCAAAACTTAACAACATGAAGTTGGGCACTCTCAAGTGATCAGTCAATGTATATAATCCAAGGCAGTCGCAGACTGAGTAGCTCAGCGGTAACGTCACAAGTGCTAACAAGCAAAGAACCTAGATTCAGAGGTTTCTGTCGGTTACGTCCAACGGAGCAATCAACATCTATCAAAGTACACTGCAGTGGTGAGCCTCCTAACTTGGTGACTACATTGCAAAAATGATCCATAGAACTTTGTTTGCACTCAGGACTAGACAACATAAAATTGGTTGCTCTCCAGTAACTTGTCAATGTATAGTTTTATTACTGGCTTGTGTAAACAACCCAGCTCAGAGAACACAATACAACCAAAACCATCTACCTGAGTTACAAATATTCTCCATTATTTCATAGTTTTATTACGAATTGAATTTAGCCAGAAAATCACTAAAAATCAGAGAAGGCTTAATGTCGACATCGTTTTGCTTTGAGACGCCTCTTATAGGGAGTTGGATCCAGAGCCATCAGGTTTCTCTATAAGTGTGTGAGCATCCAGCCACTGTGCTGTAGGTCAGTGATTGGTGTTTCTCCACTTTCAGTGGATTGGTAACGCCATGGTTGTGAGACCTGAAAGTCTTTGATGCACCGTCGCATGGGGTTCGAACAGCTGTTCAACGCCTTTTAGTTTTCAATGGTTCTGTGTGCTTGATGTTAGTTTGTAACGAAAACCTTTTTCAAAGTAATCAGTTTTTCCTTCCCCATAAAATTACTCTAGACTGAATTCCTTGACATTTTCGGAAGTGTTATCACAATTCAAATAATAGGTAGTGTGAAGCTGATGTATGTATATTTTATTGGATTATTACGAATCTTTTTTCCCAACATGTTTTATCAAAGGTTATTTTACAGAACCTATGTTCATAAGCTTTTTGGATCGTGTATTCCTTGTCGTACAACTTATAGTTTCAAAGCACTTAATGTATATGATGACTATGAATTGAATGTTCTGTTGAACTGATATATTAGGAGAGTATATCAGTAATGAATTAACTGTTTAAATTGTATAACTGGATGCATAGTTATCATTTAATCAGATAAGATGTGTTAATCGGATTAAGTTATGTAATGATGCAGTCACTTTAGGCGCCAACTATGGGAATTTCAATTAGCTTTAAAGCAATTCACAAAACTGAGAGATTACTGAATGTTATACAGTTCAATGTATCTACAGAATTTAATAATAATAAAATTCTATCAACAATGTGTATGGTATAATCACAATTATAAGTGATTTGATATCACAGTACAGCGTATTAAGTAATGAATGATTGAAGGCATTACTTTCTTAGAAATTTGCAAATTTACATGTCTAGTGAATGTTAACAAAAACAAGGCCTAGTGTGTAGCATACCACAGTAACTGCATTCACTCATTTGTTTTTTTTCACAAGTTCACTAAAAGATGTGCACAAAATTCAGATAACTAAGTAAACTGATAAATTTCACAACATTAAATAGTGTACAAAATTATTTTAATGTCATTGGAGAAACCTAATCCGTTACTATGTTCCATCTAGTTATGTTTAGATCTGAACTTTACTGATAAAAAGGCAAATTATGAAGATCAATTATATTTCTTATGACTTGTGGGAGAAGATGGATGTACAGCAGTATCCTAGTAAGAAGCATGCATATCCAGCTGATGAGTTTCAAATAGGGTGAAACACATAGTCTGAATTCCCCTGCTAGCCATTATACATTATTGCCATCAAACTGAAAATACTGGTAATACCAAGGTATCCACACAGCAGTGAAATTGTCAATAGGAGCTGATCAATTCGGTTCAGTCGATGGCGGGAAATTACAAGCAATACCATCAATATTTAGTGAAGTTCTGCAAACTTCAGTGATAGATAACCTACATCAGTTTATCAGACGTTATGATAATGTCAACTATATAACAAAAGTGATGAAATAATCGATTTCATTTAATGTTGGCTAAATAGGAGTTGTTTGCGAATCCTAGTTGGAACTTCTCCCCCCAGTGTTCGAACCCACGTTTTTCAGTGTTATGCACAGAGGTATTACAAAATAAACTAAAGAATCAATTATCACTTTTAAGGTATAATATAACCGTACAAGCTGATGCTTTAAAATGTTCCGAAGAAAAAACAGTTTGGCTTACTTTAGATGTTTCAGTTAAGTGTAGCAGTACCATTCCCCCTTGATTTTCTTATGCATCGGATAATCTTTCCTGTTGTTAAAATAGATTAAACCACAGCCATGAGCCTACTACTTGAATCTCATTTACTACACCCTAACCATTTGTTATCTGAAGTTCAGATGATGATTATTTTACTTTCTTGTTAAAACAGAAAGTTCTTATACATACCATCCTATTGTTTCAGCGATACAACAATGGTTATTTTATCGACAATTATACTGAGATATGAAATCTCTTTTCAAACGCCTTTAAACTCCAGTACTGCAAATTATAAGATGCTATGTAATGACGAATCAGGAATACGCGCTATATCGTTCAGTCAAAAGACTATGCTTAGTCTTTGTTGTTCAGAATACGTTACGTCTCAAAAAATGTGATTTCGTGATTTACCACACTAACGTGGGGTGTGCATCATTAGTCACTTCTTAACTATCCAATAACACAAAACCATTTTTTTATCTAGACGCTTTCAGCAAATATTAGATATCCATAGTCTGTATGACAAAATACTAGAAATTAGATCTAACCTAATAAAACTATATTCCATATACATGAAAAAACACCATAGAAATGATGTATGCTTCTAAAAACAACAAAAGTGTGAACATCTATTTATTTCACTAAACAAAATTCATTATAAAATGAAAGTGGATAGTGTGTGCTTGAACAGTCCTAGGATATCAAATGCAGTCTATTTACATTCCTGCACGGCACTAGTAGTAGTACCAGGAGTAATAGTTTTGTGCTCAATCACAGAATTTTCACAATCTTGCTTGACATATTCAAGTTCAGGATCTTGTCTCCACATAAAGTTTCTTACGATAAACTTAGCCTTATACGTACAAACAAACGTTATAAAAAAGTACATTAACAAGCAGTGAAATGCGCTTAATTGCGGTGCTTACAGTAATACATTTATTCATCATCATTACTGAACAACGACTACACATGATTATTCCAAATAATTTTGAAGTTCAAACTAGTTCACTTGCCAAAGGATATTAGTAGCCGTCAAAGTTTAGGAAACGCATATCATGTCCTTGAACATATTTGTGAACTAATAAATATCTTACTTGTGAAATCACATGTCACTTCAATGGGCTTCAATACACCAGATCCATCCATATCAATAGTTATGTTAATTGTGGACTGTTGTAGGGAATAAAATAAACCAGCCTCTGAACACGATGTAAAGTATTCACTTTGATGACAAACAGCTCCAGCATAACCAGTTTTTGTACAATCACAATAAAATGTTGCTCCAGTCTGTGAACATGGAGCTTCATGTTTGCATGGATTAGGATTACACCGATCTTGTATCATACAACTTCCATTGATAATACTTCGATGACGTGCAGATGGATCTAATTTATCCCATTCAACATCTATTCCATTAATGCGTATTTGACGTAGACAACCTTGAAATGAGTAACGTTGTGGTCGGCCACCACCGATATACGATACTTTATCAAAAATAACTACAATAAAAAAAGAAATCTCTAAAATACTCAAATTTAGACGAAAATGTGAAGTATACTACTAAGAAAATGCACTCTAGGCATGTTATTTAATGTTACTCGATTATTAGTCTTGAATAGACATTTCATTCAGTTGCCCAGGCCTACGTTATTGATACTGTCCACATACTACTACTCACACTACTATTCATACTACTACTACTACTATTACTACCGTCGATTATTCACCATCAAACTATATTAAGGAAAGTATTGAATACTTTTTAAACTGGTCTTGACTTTATGGCTTGTGAATCTCTGTTGTTGTTTTGACCGACTTCATCAGCCATTTTTGGTACATGGGCTTTTGTACGAATGCTTCCCATTAGTTTCACTTTGATAGTGATGATGAATAGTGGCTTACAATGAAGTCCAGAATGTTCACTTCCCACTATTTAGTACTCATCAGCTGGATACACCTACAGCCTGCTGAATAATGTTGTTCCCACTAAGACTACCGGTTGAACCCCTCGGCCCCGGGTTGGAGTCCGGGATAACATCACTTAGTTGGATGCATGTATATCCAGCTGATAGGTCCCAGATAGGATGAAACGCGCTTCCTGGATTTCACTACTAATCACTATCTATTACTGATATCAAAACTGATTAAGAATAACTCTTTGGTGTTGCATCACATGAGTTCTTTTATTTGGGGATGATTGAGGATTTACATAATTTACTTGAATACACCACCGCATCAAAACATGGTCGTAACCACAATGGTCGTACCATTGTTCAGTTTACTTGTCGCCATGATTCCCATCGGGTTATAATGATTAAAACACTCGTTGCCTTAAGCGTTATCATACTAGGAAGGTCAGATGAAGAGTGATGACATTAAAGTACCTAACTTCAACCTTGTAATTTTATAATCGAAGCAATGGAGTCAGATGGCAAAGCTGTACTGATGATTTTAATAAGCTGCTCCCCAAAAATAACTAGAATTCTCGGCTATTGCTACCTTTCTTTCATAGGAAAAAGGATTTTAAAAAGTTAATCTTTAAAATCTCTTGTCTCAGGTATGGACTGCATTGAAACCTAGTGTGACAGTAGGAAAAGAAATATTTTAGCGCATTTTCCAACCGACTTAGGTGAGAAGTTTTGTTTTTCTGATGCACCAGTAACCCGTGAAATTAAAACGCGGAGACAGAAGACCTGATTGACTTTCACCATTTTACGATACCTATGGCGTCAGAGAGATATACGATTACCTGTTAATGATGAAGCATACTGCATGCCATTTCTAGTTGCACTAATCTCTTGCTAATAAAAACGGCCATTAGGGTTAAGAAGAAAAGAAGTTGATCTTCGAAGCACTGAGCGCTTGGAGTGAATTACATCGTGAGTTACGTGGGAGTGAAACGTACAATTTTAGATAAAAGAAGTGAGTCAGACTATGAGACTTTAAATCCTAGTTGGTTGAGGCGCTTGAAACATTTATTACCCATTTCGAGCCACTTTCTACATCAGAGAAAAAGACATCAGTGACCAGACTGAAACAAGACACGAGTCCACGAAGTCTCTTCTTGTTGAGTCCCAGAGGAAAATGGAAGCTTATTGGTCATGATCTGAGAGATGACTAAAATAAGTAGTTTGACACTATAAGCAATATACCGCAGAGTATGGTGCACTGGAACAGAGGTATAACAGCCATACATACATTGTAACCGCCACATCACACTTAGCTATTCGCTTTTACCTCCATCCTTCAGTCTATAGCTACCCATGACTTAGTTACAGTACTTCTATTCCCTTATGCTTCATCCTACTATCTTGTACCAGTATGAAGTTTGGTAAACTGGATTGCTGTGTAATAAACCATAAACCTACACTGATGAAGATTAACTGGTTATCCTCTTGACCTAGTGAGATAGTTGTGCTTTGGAAGACTAGTACTGACATTGGATCTGGTCGCGGAACAAATTTTCATTTCACTCTAAGTTATCGCCCAGTACTAACTAATTAACAATATCAAATGTTTTCACTTGAATCTTTAAATACAAAAGTTAAAAATCACTCCAAATTTTATTATTTCAGATGAATTTGGAAAGTTTAATGTTTGAGATATCCATTAAAATGGGTAAATCTGAAAACATTCAGCTGATAGCCGACTCATACGTAGTGAAAACTGTAAGTTAGAGTGTACCGACTGTTTTAACCATTTCACACATTTGATAATCCCTAAAGTGTAATATCTTTACTGTCTGGTAAATTTCATCTGTTTTGTTTATAAGCCTACTATTCCTACCTTAATCGTTTACGGGATAGCAACGCCGCTGTAATCTAAAGGAAATGTTTACTAAGATCACCAGCTTGAACACAGTGGAGAATAGCATAACAGTGTAAAACCACTGCTTATCATCAACAACTTCCACTGTCATGGCAACAAAACCTATGGATTAAAATTATAACACCCAGTGAATGTTAATGATGAATAGTGACTGGCAGAGCAATACAGGAAGCACGTTTTATTCTAATTGGGATTGAACAGTGGGTGATATTGTTACAAATAAGTCTCTTTAATATATAATTGAAACATTGGCAACATCGAATCATTCGCCAGGGTGCCCACATGCCATAAGAAACTGGTCGGTTCGTTTCATTCAGAGAAGGGATAACACAAGCAAAAACATTAAAACTCAGTGAAATTATTTAATTCTAGAAAAACTTGATCTAGAATGCCAGTCAATTTCCTACCTCAACTTCATTGACTTTGAAAAGACTTCAATAGCGTCGACAGAGGAGCAGTATGGTAACTGCTTCAACACTACAATTTTAGTGACACAAACCTTTATCAATCTCATTCAACAACACCCACATACCATGATATATGCTGAGGCTACATGCCAAGTGATTCACAATGCAAAGATCAGCTCAGTGATGCCTTCGAAGCGAAGTGAAGACAGGAGAAAGACAAAGTTGCCCCCTACCATCACCGATCATCTTCCTCATTGTGGTCGAGTCGACTGGACTTGACTGCACTGGATCATGCATGCCACAAACAACTGTGAGGAGCGTGAAGATGGGCATACGCTGGTTGGACCAATGAAAAGAACCCAGATGAAGATTTGGATTTCGCCAACAATGATGAATTATGTCTGGTGTCTTGTGGCACAAACTCGAAGATCTACAGATGAAACTAACAAGTTGGCAGAAGAGGCAAGGCGACGCGACGCGAGGCGAGGCAGTGAAGGAGGACGGAACTCCAGGTGAAGGTAGAGGAGACATCACCATCACCAACAACAACAAGCACCAATCACCATCGATGAGAGAAATCTGAAGGAAGTTTTCTCTTTCACCTACCCGCCTGCTTACCTACCTAAACACCCAGTGCTTCTGTGTGATGGTTGAGGGACTTGGTGTGCTACGGAAAAAACATTTTCACACAAACTGCAGACATACATCATCAACACCTACCACCCACGCTCACTCCATACTCAAGATGGAGGGAGATATAGTGACCGGAAAATATGAGCAACAAGGAACCCTGGATGGCAGCCAACCAACCAACCATAACCCATCTCCCAACAAATATTCAGAAGGAAATGGAGATCGATTGGATTGGATTGGATTGGGCATACACTGAGAAGACTGTTTGCAGACATCACAGTGTAGGCCAGACCGTCGAGTGGAAGCCAAACGGGGAATGACGAGTTGGGTGTTGGAGGCGAAGGTGACATGGAGAATATGATGCGAAAAAGAAATGAAAGCTTGTGGGCAGTGGTGGAGCCTGGTTGAGAAGAGTGGAAAGAAGCGAGTGAAATGGAGACGTGCTACTGAAGCCCGTATGTTGCACTAGGAACCCAATGGACAAATAATAATAATAAAGGAGTTGATCACTATTCCACTTACCGGTAATGTCATATTTTGTACAGTGGTATAGACATTGTTATCAATTATAAGTGTCACTAAATTTTGTGACATACTAAATTTAACCGAATGCCATAAACCATCGGCAAACGTTCCATTACTGGCTGCAGGATCTTTATTTTGTACAGTATACTTGATTATATATACACCAGGTAATAAAATTTCCAAGGTTAAATGTCCAGTCTGATCTTCCATTCCAAACTGTTGAAATAAAACAGTATGAACCAAGTGATATAGGTGGAATTTAAGATCATTACATTAAAAGTACTGTTATCATTAGAATAAATTTTATATCATTTGGTTCAAGATTTCTTATAATGTTGCATCTTAAAGTTTTTCTTAAGTCGAACTCTGGGTGTTTAAGTCTTCCATTAGTATCCTATCAAAGTTCAAACATCTCTGAATTCAATGATTGACATTCTTGAACAGGTTTATGAATCGCAGTGAAAAACATTCTCAAATTGATAATACTTATAAAATCAGTCACTTAAATAGGATTTATTGACATTATAGAAAAGTAAACTTTGAAGTTAAATAACAGAAGATAAACATTCGAAAAGTAGGTCAGTGATGACTGACATAACTGTTGGCTTACTAATTTAATCCCTAATGTTGTTAAGTGACTGAGATTCATACTCAAAGTGTACTGCTTTCATAGAGTGATAGAACTTTAATAATATGTACAGATTCACTTTAGTAACTGATAAAACTATAGGAATGAAAGATAATCAGTAATTTTTTTTCAAGTATTTTTAGTTGTGACAAGTGACACTTTGATAATAATATAATTGTAAATCTTGGTCACTGGGGGAGAATTTAATTCCATATTAGATTTATTTATTTGGTTTATAACACACAGCGATACGGTATTATTTACTTGATGATGACACTTCAAGCATCAATTATTATCGCTAATAATCGTATCACTTCCCGCCTTCGACATCTGATTTTCATAGTCCTGTGACTTCTTATTCTTTGTTTCCACTGGTGAAAATGGTTACTTTCGATGTAGCAAGTCTTTATACAGAAATACCAATCAATACGGCACTATAGGCAGTCAGAAATCAACTGAATATTGACTCAGAACTTATTCACAGAAGTAAGATATCAGTTGAAGAAATCATATTAGGCCCACAATTGTGCCTGACCATCACAGTCTTCGAGTTTCAGGATAAAATATACAGACAAACAGAAGGGTTAGAAATACGGTAACCAGTATCACCAATCACAGCAGATTTATTTATGGATAGTTGAGAAAACACAACTCTACCAACCTGTAATCCGACACCTACGACTTGGTGACGATATGTGGATGACACTTATACTGTGTTGAAATCGGAACATATCGATAATTTCCTAACACATATAAACTCAGTAGTAGGCAAAACCCAATTCACTTACGAAGCAGAAAATGAACAAGGAGAATTACCTTCAAGTCATCTCACCCAATGTCAGTCAAAGCAGGTCCAGTCAAATCTCCAAGTCATATAGTTACAAAACTGACTAGTCAGTACAAGGACATAAACAAGCAATCGATGAAACACGTAAAACAAGCACAAATAGTTGATAATTATACTCCACAGTCTATTCAGAAGAAATTCCTACGAACACACAAAAATGAAAAAATAACAGTAACACGAGTACGAATAACTAACAATGACAACACGAGTAGAAAGCAGTTCACAGTCTCCATTGTGTTACGCCATAAAAAAGGTACATCAGAAGATCTACGTGGAATTGTCAACAAGACTGGAATTAGGACAGCACTCAAACCTACAAACTCACTGAGAGATAAGCTTTGCGCCTGGCTTAACAATCGGATAGAAGTAATTAAGTGAAATAATCTAATCTATCAAATTCCATGTAATGATTGAGAGGTCAAGTACATAGATCAAACTAGCCCAGTTGGTCGCCGTCACTTAGATCAGTGAGACATTGGAATCTAACTATCTGTAGAATGACAGCTCCGAACAAGATCCATAATCTAGAAAAAGCTCGACTATCACAACACATGGATTAACACACAACCACATAATAAGGTGGGTGGGATAGAACCACTGTACTCAAGTCCAACATAATTAGGTGGCGATTGAGACAGATTGATTACTGAATCTTTGTCCATCGAATCAACACCTAACATATGTAGTAGGAATGATGCGAAACCTACATACAAACAGAGATATGAAAAAATTGACTAGCAATAAAGAGAGATCGTATGACGTGAGATGACTTTAAAAATCAGATGTCGAAGGTGGCGTGATTACATTGATATGATTATGAGGGATAGTAATTTCTGCTTGAAGTATCGTCATCAATCATGTAAATAATAGTGTGTCACTGTGTGTGATAAGTTAAATGAACAAATCTAATATGAAATTAATAATTTGACATGAAAATGAGGTTTTTTCAACTGTTTTTCCGATCTCTAACTAGATGTCGTGTAGTATCCTTTCATGTTTGCTTTAAACGCCATAAAACTAAGACTGCGTATTCGGTGGAACCTTTTCAAACGACTTTACAGTCAAGTTAAGACAGCATAGCTGTTTCATCAAATAAGGACAATTTTTATGTACCCTAGTGTAGATGGACAATACCAAAACTCAGAGACGACTGAATAACTATTTATAGTGGTTTATATTTACTATTCATTTAGTTTTACAATGTTATTTATTTCATCTGCTACTCAATTTAATTGTAGTTAGATTTCACTTATGTTCAACCAACTTATCCATCTATTAGAGACTTATTACTAATAACTATGATATGACTTCAGTGAAGATGCGATTTCACTCAGTCTATCTCTTCTACCGATATCTGCTTGTTACAGTGAGTAATTTCAAATGTCTTTTGGGATCTGTAAGTCCAACTACCCTTATTCTTTGACTCCTGATAGGCTACTCATCATCTTAAAATGAAAATGAGTAATCTCAGAAACTTTTGACAGCAATCAAACTATCTCACACTGTAATCCATGAGCTCTATCCAATACTGTGGTTTAAGTTTCTCGTATTCATTGACAGATATAGAGATCATGAGTTTAATAGCTCAGCAAATTGACTAATTACTTCAACAATAGAAGTTATACCAAGCTCCTTCATGTACCTTATCTACTTAGGTGATTAATGCTTATTCTGAGAACTGTCAGTAAACTATCACTGAACAACAAAACAATTTTCATTAAACAGTAGATAACTTGGTCCTTTATCAATTAGTTTGCAAAACTTGACTTGATATCAATGAATTCAAACAATTTCCACTTAACTTAGACGTGTTGTTGGTAATACTTAGGTGTATAATCAGATCACTTCTTTTGAAATTAAAGGTTAAAGCACAGAAGTAAGTCTATAGGTATGGTAGAATTACCTTCCTTACGTTATCCTGATTTCCATTCACTTTATCATTTTTCTGTGTTGTTATTCTCTCTTCATAAAGTTCACAATTCTTGAATGATTACTGATAATCACTTTTTGGTTGTTTATATTACTACAAACTATCGTAAGTACTAGTATAATTGTTTTTATATGATACCGTCGTTGATTGGACCGAATTGATCGGTTTCTATTGGCATATGGGCTCCTATGCCGATGCCTCGGTATTGCCAGCGTTCTGTTTGTAAAAATGATGGATCGTGGCTAGCAGTGGAATCCACGATACGCATTTCGTCCTATTTGGGACTCGTCAGCTGGATGTACCTGCTTCCCAGTGAGTGATGTTGTTCCCGATCCATTTGGTCCAATTAACGACGGTATCATATAAAGACAATTATGCCAAAAACTATACCCGTCGCACAAGAAGTAGCTATCGTGGCTGGGTGGTATAGTGGACAACGCTCTGGCGTTAGAAGCGATCGCTCCGAAGTCCGAATCCCGGTGGGAGCAACATCACTCACTGGGAAGCAGACACGTCTAGCTGACGAGTCTCAAATGGGACGAAATGCGCATCGTGGGTTCCACTGCTAGCCACATTCCATCATTAACACATCGTAAATGTTGTTTATGATGTGATATTTTCTTCCCAAATCATTTTACAACAGTATATACTAGTCACCTAACAATTTAGTGAAGTTATAAATACTGTACACATACTTACTGCTCTGTTTGATAATTTAACCGTAAAGCTTCTAACTCCATAAATCAAAATGTAACGTTCTCACTGTGAAATTTTATTATCTTAAGTATACACATCAAAAGAATAACAGAAGTGAATGGACCAGGATTTCATGGTCAAAGCAGATAGATATTTTTTACAAGGCTGACTTTTATTGGTTATTATTATTTTTTATTATTAGTCCCTTGGGTTCCTAGTGGAACATAGGGCTTCAGTAGCACGTCTCCAGTGAACTCTGTTTTCTGAGATCTTTTGAACCTGTTTTGACGATAGTCCAGAAGCTCTCATTTCCTCCTCGCACGACCACCTCCATGTCACCCTTGGACGTCCAACTCGTCGCTTCCCATGGGGATTCCACTCGAGGGCCTGGCGCGTGATGTCCTCAGTCGGCCTTCTCAGTGCATGACCAATACATCTCCACTTCTTCCTGCATATTTGTTGCGTGATAGGTTCTTGGTTGGTTCGTTCCCAGAGTTCCTTGTTGCTTATTCTTTCTGGCCATATGATCTTCAGCAACGAGCGTAAGCAGTTGTTGATGAATGTCTGTAGTTTATTGGAAATACCTTTCGTGACGCGCCAAGTCTCTGTGCCATACAGGAGCACTGACTTGACGTTGGTGTTGAAAATCCGTATCTTGTTCCGCATGCTGAGTGCAGAAGATCTCCACACTGGTTTCAGGCTAATGAATGCCTGTCTTGCTTTTCCGATTCTGACTTTGACGTCCTCGTCCGTCCCGCCTGTAGTTGAGACAGTGCTTCCTAGATAAGTGAAGGAGGTTACTTCCTTTAAGTTTCTCCCGTTGACGGTGATTGGAGTTTGTTGTTGTTGGTGGTGATGAGGTATCTTCATCACCTCTGTCTTCTCTATATTCACCTGAAGTCCCGTCTTCGCTGCCTCTTCTATCAACTTGTTAGTTTTTGCCTGCAGATCTTCAAGTTTATGTGACATCAGGCACAAGTCATCGTGGCGAAATCCAAGTCTTCTAGGTTCTTTTCCGCAGTCCAGCCAGCGTATGCCCCTCTTCTCACAGCTCCCCACTGTTTGCTGCATGATCCAGTCCACCACAATCAGGAATATCGTGGGGGATAGTAGGCAACCTTGTTTCACTCCTGTCTTCACTTCAAAAGCATCACTGAGCTTCCCATTGTGAATTACTTGGCATGTGGCATCTTCATATAGTTGTTGGATGAGGCGGATAAAGGTTTGCGGTACTCCAAAAAAAAAAAAAAAAAAAAAAATTACTTTTCGGTCGACGCTGTCAAAGGCCTTCTCAAAGTCGATGAAGTTGAGGTAGAGAGCTGGTTGCCATTCTATGCTCTGTTCTATGATGATGCGAAGCGTTGCAATTTGGTCTGCACATGATTTGTACTTCCTGAAGCCTGCCTGTTCCTGTAGCAGTTTTGAATCCAGTGCATCTTTAAGCCTCTCCAGGATGATGCGGCGTACTATTTTGCTTGCTTTGGGTGGACAAGAGAGTGATTCCGCGCCAGTTCTTGCAAACACTGTGGTCTCCTTTCTTCGGCAGTTTGACAAGGTAATCCTTCTTCCAATAGCCAGGTACCTTCTCTTCCTTCCACACCTTTTGCAATAGTGGTGTGAGCATGTCTGCTGTTGTCTCTGAGTCTGTTCTCAGTGCTTCTGGCGGGACCCCATCTGGTCCTGCTGCTTTCCCACATTTCAGTAGCTTTATGGTGCTCAGGACTTCCATTTTTGTTGGAGGATTTATGTTCACTTGTAATTCAGCGGCTGCAGGTAGTATTTCTGGACGAAGTGCAGGTGGTGGTGGTGGTCGATTCAAGAGCTTTTTGAAGTGGTCAGCCCACCGTTTCCTTTGTTTCTCTTCTTTCGTAATTAAATTTCCTTCTTCATCTTTTATTGGTTTCATCTGTGTTGATCTCTTCCCTGATAGCAACCTGGTTATTTGATACAATGCCGTCAAATCTCTCTTACCTGCAGCCTGTTCTGCTTCACTTGCCAGTGTTTCGTAGAAGTGTCTTTTGTCTTTCCGTGCACTCTTCTTTACATCTTTGTTCAGTGTTTTATACATTGTGATCAGTTCCTCTTGTCGTTGAGCATCCTTGCACTGGTTTATCTTCTGCTTCACCATCCCCCTCTCCCTACTCTATCAGCTTCCTGTTATCCGTCGAGATCCATTCCCTGTCTTCTTTCTTCTTCCTTCCTAATACTGTTGTGCGGGTTTCTTTCCACATAGCTTTCAAAGACTTCCAGTGTTCTTCCACACAGGTTTCTTCAGGGATGTTGCTCGATATCTCCCATTTTGTCTTGATGGCTGCCTTGAAGACCTCCTTTGTAGTTTCATCCTTCAGTTTCCGAGTGTTGTACTTGGATTGAGGTCTATCACCAGCTTCCTTGAAGACTTTTAACTTGATTTGGAAGGTTTGTTGCACTAGATAGTGAATGGTGTTAACCTACATCTGCTCCTCTTCTTGACCTTGTGTTAAGTAGACTGCGTCTCCATTTTCTTGAGATTGAGATAAAGTCGATTTGATTTTTGGTGTGTCCATCTGGTGAAATCCATGTCGCTTTGTGGATATCTTTGCGCCTGAACACACTGCCTCCAATCACCAAATCGTTGAATGCGCAGAATTCTGCAAACAATTCTCCATTCTCGTTCATCTCACCGAGTGCTGCTGGACCCATGGTTAGTTCTCTTCCTGTGTTGTCCGCTCCCAGTTTGGCATTCATGTCGCCCATTAGAATTTCGGAGTCGCCAACTGAGGTCTTGTCCAGTGTTGATTGAAGTTGTCTGTGGAATTACTCCTTTTTCTCTTGCTCTACATTATTTGTAGATGCGTAGCATTGTATGATTGTGACCTTCCTTCCTTTTGAGTTGAACCTAGCTGTCATGATCCTGACAGGAGGAGATTGGTTCCCACTGCATGAGAACCTTTGATGCTGTTGGGGACATCATGATAGCCACTCCAAAACTCAGTGTGCTCGTGGTTGTCGTCTGGGTGACAATATCGGAGTAGATTATTGATTCTCCAGTTGACAGTTTGGAGAGTCCACTTCCATTCCATCTGCTTTCGCAAATTCCAAGCACTTCGATGTGATACCTTCTCATCTCCTTTGCAATCTGGGCTGCCTTACTGGGTTCAAACATCGTACGGACATTCCATGTCCCCACGTTTACTTTCGCTTTCATCGAGGGAGAGAAGACACATCAGCCAATTGGCTTCCCGAAGTCAGGTTTTCACCAACTGGCGTCATTTCGCCTCTCTGATTCCAGCGAGGAATAAGTTTGTTATTATTTTTTATATTTTGTTTGTGCTTTGAAGTTTGTTTAGCGGTTAAATTTATTTTACGGGGTAGGGTTGCTAGCCCTATTCCCAACCTTCCCTCTTTACCCGGGCTTAGGACCGACTAGTAACTAGTGAACTAGTTAACCAGGCGAGTTAGTTAGTTAGTTAACTAATATTAAAATCTTGTGAAATTATAAACAGGTTCTTATATAATGGATATTTTGTATAATGGTAACTAAAGTGCGAAAATGAACTGTTACGTAAAGTGGTAAATTGTTGGCGGTAATTAGAGACAGTAGGAGGGAGAAGAAGATGGCTAAATCTGTAATAATAATAACAATAAAAGAGCTATTGAAATATTAGTTATGATCAGTTGTGTGATGAATGAAATGAAGAGTCTTATTGTAATAAATAAGCTATACAGATGGCCAAAGTAAAGAAAGAAGCTGTACGAATTTCTTTTAAACACACAGACTTGGTTTGTTTAGGTGGATTCCTACGGCTCCTTCTGTATATAAAAGACAAACTCGTGCAGCATGGGCCAGGTTAGTAGGAATGTGACAAATAACTTTAAAGGCAGTATGAATATTAACTCGGTGGCCGTAGTCAATCAGATGCGAGAGTACTGAGCTTCGTATCGATCCGGTTAACCCCTTAGTTAATCATGAAGCGTGATGCTCGGCGATTCAACGACAGACTTGCCTACGTCCAATGTAACTAGCTCCAATTACCGTCAACAATTTACCACTGTACGTAACAGTTCATTTTCGCTCTTTAGTTACCATTATACAAAATATCAATTATGTAGGAACGCTCTCACATTTGAAGGGATTGCTTCCGAGTCCGAGTCTGGGTGGGAACAACATCACTCACTGAGAGGCAGGTATATCCAGTTAACGAGTCCCAAATAGGACGAAGTGGGCATCCTGGATTCCACTGCTAGCCACTATCCATCAATACTTAACATATGTAAGAACCTGTTTAAAATTTCACAAAATCTTTCTACTATAATTAATTTATGCTTTGGTTGACTGTCTTAATTACCTGACCAATTATCACCTTCTTGATACTTGGAGATTGATTATCTTTCATTCATATTAGGATCCATGAAAGAAATTACCGTCAAATATGAATTTCTCAAACTCTCAAACTGTTAACCTAATAAATTGTTCTCTGTTCGTATATTCTACATAAATTCAATTTCATATGAAATGAAAAAAATTTTCTGTTGTAATCTATTACAATGAAATATGAACTTACAGATATGTAGTTATTATCCTTATCAACAGTATGGTAAAATAAGATTCCACCTCTGTTAAGACTGCGAAAACCAAATTCAAATTGTAAAACGTTTGTTCCTCCATCACGTTCAATTTTTAAGAAGACAACATACTGTTGTACATCAGGAAATGTTATAACAGTATTGTCTATAACACCTCCTGGACATTCAGTTCCTATTACTCCTGAACCTCCAATAGCTAGTCCACTGATGTTAAGTTTTTCTTCAGTAACAGGTGGACCCCACCATAGAAAAGAATTACGTTTTGGATAGCCAAGTGCTTCTTCCCAAGGTATATTCAACTTGTCAATAATTGGTGACTGACTAATTTTCATCAATGATCTTTGTGCATCCCGTATGATATGTACACCATTAAAAATGAACTCTTCAAGGCAGCCAATAAAATTTTGACTCACGCTTAAACCACGACGATTTGAAAAGTCTGGTAAACCTCCAACTGAAAGCTAAAATCATATCAACAAAGAACACAATAATAAAATAGGAGACGCGCATCTTGCATTCCTCTGTTGGTCACCAATATCAATATGACATCATGAATATCCGATATTATCAAGGCATTTGCATAGGAGCATATCTGCAAACTGAGGTCAGTTGATTCGATCTAGTATAACAAGTGAGAATTACAAGGATCAAGACACAACAATAACTAATACCAGTTGTACAAGAATGAACTATCGTCCCACAGTGGTTAAGTGGATAACAGTCTGCTATTTGAAGCGATGGGTACGAGGTTGAAGTCTCCGTGGGGACAATATCACCCACTGAGATACAGGTACATCCAGCTGACGAGTCCCAAATAAGACGAATTGTGCGTCCTCGATTGCATAACTATCCATCAACTTAATCACTTATGAACTAAATGAGATTACGCTAATGTACTTTATTTCTGAAAATTTACTTAAACTTGATTCAAAATTACCAAGGGATATTTAACAAAAATCACCATGTTCATAAATACTTTACTGCGAAAAGAATTTTTACTAAAGAATTTGAGAAACTACATGTTCAATCCTATAAGATGCAATAAAGAGATACTACTGAGATATTTGATGACAGATTTAAAAAATGATCGAATTTTTTTCGGTTTTTGTTGAAAAGTTGATTAATTAAAGCCTTCAATATGGGAATACGTTCGAACTTATCAGGAACTTCTAAGCGATTAAAAGTAAACGTTTTGTTGCGATAGAAGTTTTCGTACTAAATTGATTTCTTTAGTTGGTTTTACCACTTATATCATTTAAACTTTATCAATCATCTGCTATTTCTACTTTATTAAATCAAGGCCATTTACAAATACAAAGCGATAACACAAGTCTAAATGGTATCAGTCATTGATGTTACTTACGGTTACTTTCTGGTTGGTCAGAGGCAATCGACAAGAAACCTTGCTTGATCTAGGATTCGAAACTGTCGGCATTCGTCAACGAGGCGTATCTCCAACTTAGAGGGAACTGATATTCCAACTGAAATTCCAACTCTAGTCACCCAGTGTTCTAGACAGCGATCGAATTCTATCGATCACTTTGCAGCGTGTTCACTAAGTTACGATGTTCACCATTCTAGTCCATTTTGAAAGATATTAGTTGGTTAAAAGATCATCATACAACAAAGCATACAATGCCAGTCGACTCTCTACCTCAACTCCACTGACTCTGAAAAAGACTTCAATAGTGTCGACAGAGGAGCAGTATGGTAATTGCTTCAACACTACAATTTTAGTGCCACAAACCTCATTCAACAACACCCACATACCATGATATATGCTGAGGCTATATGCCAAGTGATTCACAATGCAAAGATCAGCTCAGTGATGCCTTTGAAGCGACGTGAAGACAGGAGAAAGACAAAGTTGCCCCCTACCATCACCGATCATCTTCCTCATTGTGGTCGAGTCGACTGGACTTGACTGCACTGGATCATGCATGCCACAAACAACTGTGAGGAGCGTGAAGATGGGCATACGCTGGTTGGACCAATGAAAAGAACCCAGAAGAACATTTGGATTTCGCCAACAATGATGAATTATGTCTGGTGTCTTGTGGAACAAACTCGAAGATCTACAGATGAAACTAACAAGTTGGCAGAAGAGGCAAGGCGATGCGACGCGAGGCGAGGCAGTGAAGGAGGACGGAACTCCAGGTGAAGGTAGAGGAGACAGAGGTGATGAAGATGGCCAACCATAATCAACAACAACAAGCACCAATCGCCGTCGATGAGAGAAATCTGAAGGGAGTTTTCTCTTTCACCTACCCACCTACCTAGACAGCATCGTTTCAACGACAGACGGAGGCACATGTACAGTTGGAGCTTTTCAAAACCAGGATCGGAAAAACAGCAAGACACACCATCCTGCATTAACCTGAAATCAATGTGAAAATCTACTACACTACACTACACTTCACTCAACTCCACTTCACTGCACTGCACTGCACTCAGCATAAAGTATGAACAACATACGGATTTTCAACACCAATCTCAGTCAAATCAGTGCTTCTGTATGATGGTTGAGGGACTTGGTGTGCTACGAAAAACATTTTCACACAAACTGCAGACATGAATCATCAACACCTACCACCCACGCTCACTCCATACTCAAGATGGAGGGAGATAGAGTGACCGGAAAAAATGAGCAACAAGGAACCCTGGATGGCAGCCAACCATCCAACCAACCAACCATAACCCATCTCCCAACAATTATTCAGAAGGAAATGGAGATCGATTGGATTGGATTGGATTGGGCATACACTGAGGAATGACGAGTTGGGTGTTGGAGGCGAGGGTGACATGGAGAATATGATGCGAGGAAGAAACGAAAGCTTGTGGGCAGTGGTGGAGCCTGGTTGAGAAGAGTGGAGAGAAGCGAGTGAAATGGAGACGTGCTACTGAAGCCGTATGTCACACTAGGAATCCATGGGACAAATAATAATAATAATAGCAATAATATTTGGCTGGAGGGAGTCAACAGGAAGCCATAGACCTAGATTCTGTACTTGTTGGCACTCGCAACATCTTTCTGTCATCCTTTCAAATAGCAAATATTCTTTTTAACACTAAATATTTGTCTTAGCTCAGTAAACTGACTGATAAAGAGTTTCCAATGTACAGGTACCAATTTCTAACAGTTTATCGTTATTCTTGTTTAAATTCTGACACTAAAGTATTAGTGTTTTATTGCAAGTTAGTTTACACACCAATAAGCATTTGACATGCCCACTTTTTAAGGAATCAGCAGTACGTAGTTAAGACACCGTATATCCTTGTCAAATAAAGGATAATGGTGTGCTGAAACTAACTCAACTTCTGTCATTGATGTATTTGAATAGGAGTTTATTAGTGCAAATAACTCATTGGTGACTTGAGGAATGTGATGAAATATATGTTGCCTTTCTTTGTTGAACAGAATAAAGCGGATGCCAGATTTATTCACTCAAATTTGCTTTTAAAGCTAAGGAGTTCAAACCAGAGACAACGTGGATATTACCAATGACAAGCTAAATATTCAATACTCTAACATGCTGAAAACATTATATAGGTGATAAGACTAGTTAGGCATTCAAATAACCTATAAATAATATTTAACTTAAAGATACCTGATTCTTCAAGCTGACCCTTTGTAGAAGAGCGATTACAGCAGAACATGAAATGATGAAGTTCATTTCAGCAATAAAACCTGTCGTAATGCCAGTGCGTAAATTTACTCACTAGTTTTGTGATGATTAATATAGGTGTTAAACATGGGAACTGTGGTAGAATTTAATTTCATATTAGATTTGTTCATTTAACTTATCACACACAGTGATACAGTATCATTTACACGATTGATGACGATACTTCAAGCAGAAATTATCATCCCTCATAATCATATCAATGTAATCACGCCACCTTCGACATCTGATTTTTATAGTCATCTCACGTCATACGATCTCTCTTTATTGCTAGTCAATTTTTTCATATCTCTGTTTGTATGTAGGTTTCGCATCATTCCTACTACATATGTTAGGTGTTGATTCGATGGACAAAGATTCAGTAATCAATCTGTCTCAATCGCCACCTAATTATGTTGGACTTGAGTACAGTGGTTCTATTCCACCCACCTTATTATGTGGTTGTGTGTTAATCCATGTGTTGTGATAGCCGAGCTTTTTCTAGATTATGGATCTTGTTCGGAGCTGTCATTCTATAGATGGTTAGATTCCAATGTCTCACTGATCTAAGTGACGGCGACCAACTGGGCTAGTTTGATCTATGTACTTGACCTCTCAATCATTACATGGAATTTGATAGATTAGATTATTTCACTTAATTACTTCTATCCGATTGTTAAGCCAGGCGACAAAGCTTATCTCTCAGTGAGTTTGTAGGTTTGAGTGCTGTCCTAATTCCAGTCTTGTTGACAATTCCACGTAGATCTTCTGATGTACCTTTTTTATGGCGTAACACAATGGAGACTGTGAACTGCTTTCTACTCGTGTTGTCATTGTTAGTTATTCGTACTCGTGTTACTGTTATTTTTCATTTTTGTGTGTTCGTAGGAATTTCTTCTGAATAGACTGTGGAGTATAATTATCAACTATTTGTGCTTGTTTTACGTGTTTCATCGATTGCTTGTTTATGTCCTTGTACTGACTAGTCAGTTTTGTAACTATATGACTTGGAGATTTGACTGGACCTGCTTTGACTGACATTGGGTGAAATGACTTGAAGTCTAGATACCTTTTGGAATGTGTTGGTTTCCTGTAGACGTTAGTATCCAAACCATCGTCTGTCCTACATTCTATGCTGCAACCAAACATAGGTAATTCTCCTTCTTTTGTGGTGAGCTTGAAATAATCTTTCCACATTTTTGTACCTGCTGCGTAGACGACCTATCAACAAGGATTTTGAGGTTATGGTATTAAACGAATCAATGCTGACTAAATTTTACACCTCATTTATATTTGATGGATGGATTCTATTGCATTGTAATGAATAGTTGATACCTTCAATAATAAGATAATTCGCTTTGGGTTTTGTAGGGACTTAGTGTTTTTAAGTTAGTATATATCATGGAATCACGTCAGCTGGTGAACATTGGAAACCTGGTAGCAGTGGACCTTTGGGTTCCATGGTCAGCACCTTACCATTAAGCTACCGGATAGGAATCAAATAGTCCATATTTTTAACTTCTATCAGTTCATGACATAGCGCAAGCATCAACGTGTCATCGTTGAGTATTTGTTCTCACATCCGCCAGGTTTGCCCTTCCATGACGAATTCTCAGTGGAACTTCGGACCCAGTAGCTCAATGATAGCGTGTTGGCTACGGAATCTCAGCTCGACCCCTGACTGGGTCATAGGTGCACACTACTGAGGAGTTCCATAGTAGGACGAAACAGCTATTCAGTGCTCCTGCTACTGATGTCAGTCCATGACGAATACCAACTTGAATTTTTGTTCTTCTACACTGTGAAAGAAATAACACTGTTGCAAAGGAGTTAAAAAGTGATGACTAAATCCTCCATATATTGGTTTTTGGCTATTAGAGTTCATTAGTAAAGTATGGGTGCATTCTGAGACCAGTTTATCCTCCTTTATTTAGGCTGATCTACATTTTTAAAACCTCTAGATGAAAATATTCACCGCATTCCTTTTAGGTACAGATTACATACAACTGTCAGAAGAAAAATGGTCCTCCCCTTAGTCGGAACACATATCTTGGAATTTATACTGGGTGATTACTGAAAGTGAGATGAAAATATAGACCGTGACCGGACTCGAACCAGCGACCACTGTATTACCGGCCCAGTACTCTAGTCACGAATTCACATGGTAGTCGGACGAAACCTTTGGTGATTGAAGAAAAATGAAATTTCGGTCAGCTGCCGGGCCTCGTAGTTTATTTGCTAGAACACTTGACAGGTAATACGGTGGTCGACGGTTCGAACCCGGCCGCGGTCCAAACTTTCGTCCCCCTTTATCACCTAGTATAAATACTAGTCTACTAAACTACGGCTATCTCAGGAAGTCAAACAATAAACATATCTCAGAAGATTTTTCGAATCCATCCATCCGTGGATAAGCAACTACTAAATATAGGATAATAATACTGAACACCATATATAATGTATACAGATGTGGCTGTTTCAAACTTACATTCCGATTCATGTTCATATGTAGAAATATAGCTGAGATATTTCGCCAAACCTTAATTCTATCAACAGATATATTTAAGTTCTTCTGTTCCCTAATAATTTGTACATCATGCCATTGATCATCGTCTAGGAGACTGCCTGCATCTACGATGTTGTCTGTAGGTTCATCAGAGAGTGGAACTGTACCAAGATTCACACTAACACGCAGTCTTCCCCTGAAAATGAAAATTTGTAATAGAGTACATCAAGAAAAATAGAATAGCTATTCAGAATTAAGGCATATGTACTCATCAGTATCATTAAACTGTGGCAACTCAACTTATTTCAGATTTATGCAACAAGCAGTTAAAATTATACTACTGATTACAAGTCAGTAGCTTAGTTTAAACAATGTCAAAAACGCACTAAGCTTTTAGCATGAAGTATTTGATTTGCTCGTGGGACGTTTCATAAATGTCCTTCCAAGAAGCAGATATGTGATACATATATTTCCAACTTAGGATTTGCATTCTCACATCTTCTTGAATGCTTACAACAAATGAAGCGAAGGGGAATGCACTGTCCATTAAGACTTGAGCTTGGAAAACAAAAAATTACCAGAAAAACTCGGTTTCTATCAAAATATTTAGGCATATCACTGTCAATATGAGGATCAATCATATATGAATTAATGTAAAGCTTATCTGACTTCTATTACATTTATTGGGCTGTACCAAAATATTTCTCCCGTACCTATATGGATGGCTACACACACTAATCCTATGTAATAAATCACCGTACCAACACAATATTTTCATTGTAAACGGATGTATCACCTTCGTTTGATTGGACTAACTCTACAGAAAACTCATTTTTTAATTGTAGGAGCACTGCCTACAGTAGACAGCCTATTCGTATAGCATAACTAAGAACTTTCCCAACCTCAAATGCACCTCATATCCAAGAATAAGTCAGTTATCATCACCCACCAATCAATGTAAATCCTATTCAAATCAGTTACAAATTCTAATGTTCATTAGCAGGTGAATCAGCATAGATTAAGCGACCCAAAAGCGACTGCTTCGAGAAGCATTTCGGTCAAAAAACATACAGATAGGGAGACAGATAGATAAGGTAAATGCCCGTTTTTGAAAACAGATAACAAGTAACTTGTCATTTAGTAATTTGGGAACTCAGCAGTTGAATTAGTGAGATCATAGCTGAAATGCAGCAGGTATATGTTAGGTTAGCGCGTAGTTCAAGGAGAAAATAGCCCAGTAAACAAAATATTGAGTATATTCAGTAATTTTTCACCAACGGTTGATATTACTTGTATCGCATACAAAATCTAAACCATTAAAAGTGGGAGAAATGAGAAGGCTTCACGTATTCGTCCACCGTTGCCTTCATAGTATAGGCCGTATTCTGTGGTGTCACTACGTGAGTAAAGCAGAAGTCAGGTGTAGAGTTCTAAGGCGAAGAGGTAAGTCAGTTGACACAGTTGTGAACCTTCATCGACTGAGACGGTTTGGACACCTGTTATGTATGCATAACCACAGTCTGTCTCGTCACACAATGTTGGCCGAAGTAGATTCAGGCTGGAGAAAAGCTCGAGGAGGCCAGACAAAACATGGTATCAATGTACAAAGTCTTTGAGTGTTGGTTTGAGCCATGTGGGTCAATGCAGACTAGCCGGTTGGGGTCCTCGGGACAAGAGAAACCAGTGGTTGGAGACTCTAGGCGATATGACTCAGAACCGATGTCACTGGCACAGATGCATACACACATTATCCTCATCTTAACGACGCTATACCGAATCTCATCATTTTCTCATTCTTCCTTTCCCTCTTTTAGTGCTTTACATTTTTCTGACTGAATTTTTTTTTCCTCTTTTACTGCACTGCCTTTTTACTTGATGTACTGATATGAGCTGTGGCAACTAGAACCGTTACGCAGTAATACTTGGTCGTATGTTGATTTGGATGGATGGATCCAACACCTAAAACGTAGTCAGCACAGTTTAGTGAACTATTTCATTCTTTTATGCATCCGTTTCCTATAAATTCACAGTAACAGCATCCCTTCACATGGAAGTTTCATTTTTGAACGAAGATACGTTTTGAATGGTCACTGTTTTACTAAGATGGTCATGAGAATTAAAAGAACGATCTGTACTAAATCGATAATGGAACCTATGACTTAGTGGAATAGGCATTTTGATAAGAATGCTTAGTTCATGACTGGTAATGCCTGGCGGTTTTGTAATATCATCAAGCTCCAATATATTAGATGTTATGTATGTAATGAGTACAATAGCCTAAAGTCATTGAGAATATAGACTGTGCTAAACACTCATGAAGTTCTAACAGTCACATAGAACACTATTTAAACCAAGTAGAAGTATATAATATTTAAGCAAATAATTATTCTTGATGAATCTTCACTGTCCAATGTCTAAGGTGTTTTGACTAAATTACCAAGTCAACAAGTGGTTACAATTTGAAAAGCATGACTAGGATATATATTGAAACGATACCTAGGGTAACAGCTACAAGATGGAAAACTATGAAATTGACTAGATTTTTTTGAGGCCTTTCAAGACATGAACTGAATCGCAGTGTAGGTGGGTATTTAAATCACCAGCATACATTCTATAGCTTCCATGCAGAATGTCATATTGTCGTAGTCTGTTCACTTGTTGGAGTTCTACATGTACTGGTTAGCTAAACTGTTAATATTCATCACTGACTGACCAACCTAATAGCTCACTGGTAACGTACTGATCACGAAGCTTGGGGATCCTGAATTCCACTCTAAATCGGGTCATGGGTACCCAATGATACTGATGTCAGTCGGTGATGATTATTACCCTAGAAGTAATAAATCTCCGAAACCCTCTAGACTGAATAGCCTAACAGTTGTTGATATCCAGATGTACCTCAACTTTGTACAAATCTTCTGAAAAGTGAAAAAGTAGTAACCAGTTTCGTATACAGTTTTACACACATTCACTGATACATAACAGTGACAGTAATGATGGTAATAACTAAAATTCAAGCGTAGAAATATATTTATACATATAATTACTAACCTATAAAGTTCAACACAAAAGTAATCCCCTTGACTTGAATCTCCATATAGTATGAGACCATTAACTTCTTTGGTACGAAATCTAAAGGTTATCTCGTCTATAACAGTTTGAGTTGCACGTCCTGGAAGATCTAAGCGTAGATCAATCCAACTTTTACCGTCCAAATGAGCAACAAACGGACCTATGAAAACAATTCTGTATTACAATGAAAGCCAGTTAAACTCACGATAATCACAGCCAAATAACTCCATTCTTAGTGAAATTAAATCATGCCATCTTTGAGGATTTAAACGAATGAAACGAGCAACAATTGGATAGGAGAAATTATTGAAATGTACACTGTTATCATCAACATTCGCATCAAATAGCTAAAAGTTGATAATGAAAGGATTAGGATGAGAAAAGTATGTATAGTCTTCAGTGAACAATTACCAATGGTTGTCCCATATCATCTTTAATCACAGCCCAATGAATTGGTTCATCTGCATCCGTATAATAAATATAATAGTCTTGAATCCATTGTCTAGCACCTTGTCTACCTTGAGTAGCAACACTCTGTACAACTTTACGCTTTAACAAGTCAATTTGAATCCATTGTTTATCATCTTGATCTAAAGCAACCCATGCACCTGCACCTTCTAGTTAATTTAAAAAGTAACATGGTTGATCAAAGTGAATATAATTAAAAGAAAATTACGTAATTCTTGATTGAATAAATAGGCTAAAATAAAATGAAGAGAAAAGTGTTTCGAAAACTTGAAAATAATAAATTACCATCGGATATATGAAGTCTACCATAATTTGCTGTTGTTTGATCTGAGAATGAAGATGATGCTGTGATTGATCATCTTTTATCCCATTATATCTATCTGTCATGCCAAGAGGGATATACGGAAAGTAGTCACATTCTTCTACAAAAAGTAGAAAATAATTAAAACAATGTTGGAAATAAAATTTAACTTTATCTTTATTGATGAACTGTAAGATAGAAATGTTTAGGTATACAAATTTGTTTGGTAATGGCCAATAGTAGAGTTTAAGAAGCGTGTTTCATCCTTCTGAGACTCGTCAACTGCATTTGTCTGCATTTCAGTGAGTGGCAATGTTCCCACTGAAATTCCAACCTATCCTCCCTCGCTTCAGATACTAGAGTCTTTCACTAGGCTATTGAGTCTTGAAATACGCCTATTGAGTACATCCTGGATTTCATTGCTAGTTTTATTAGTTTTTTTATTATGTCTTTTAGGTGCCTGGTGGAACATAGGGCTTCAGTAGCACTTCGTCATTTTACTCTCTTCTCTCCACTCTTTTTAACCTGGCTCCACAACTGCCTATAAGCTTTCATTTTTTCCTCACACCATCTCCTCAATGTCACCCTTGGCTCAGATGCCCAACTCGTTGTTTCCCATTTCGGTTCCACTCAAGGGCCTGGCCTGACCTGAACTGTCACGTGATTTCCCTAAATGGTCTTCTCAGTGTATATCCAATCCAATCCAATTCATCTCCACTTACTGCTGCATACTTATTGGACGATAGATTGTTGGTTGATTCGTTGCCAGCCAGAGTTCCTTGTTAGTTATTCTTTTACTACTAGTCATCACCAGGTAAATAGTATCATAGTAAATTCATTAAGCAATACTGAGGCATCCACAAAGAAGCCAATTAGAGATAAATTAAAACTATCAAATGCTGAATTCCACTAGTTCTTTCAGTTTACTTTCTCGGTTGTAAACTTATAACGGTCACTCGAAAATTAACAATTTACTATCAGACAAACGTGTACTTTTTGTAAGATTTTAAACTTAATCATAACAGCTAACATAGTCTCATATAAATATTCAGTCTAAGAGTTGTATTTTTCATCTGATTTTACGGACAGAATTACACTTAGTGAATGAATTAATCTGAAAAATAACTTTATGTTTCAACCTATTTACTTAAACAAACCCAACAACTTTGAAATTAGTTTATCCCGAAAGTAAACTGCAAATTTTATTAACAGACTTATCAACAACCTTTTGAATAACACATTTCACTGCAAATAACCACTTCAAAAACCATTTTGTGAGGCTTCATCAAGATACAGAATAACTTCATTCATTCAGTTGTTGCTCATTGTCATAGATTCAGTAAAAAAATCAAAGTAGACTCTACACGAAAATGGAATTCTCTATCCTGAATCATTTTCAATGACCAACTAAACTCTTATGCTTGTCAAGATTTCATAAGATATTCTTTATTGCATCTTTTACAGAAATTATGTCATGTAAAATGGTTGGTTCAGCCTATCTGAAATGTTTATTTAAGAGGAATAAGAAAGTCAATTTGGTAAAGATGAAGCATATGAGGGTGTAATACAAAATTCTCTAGTTTAATGTACTGTTACAATAAACCTGTCAGCGGTGATAATTGTTATTAGGTCAGAAATAGTAGTAATGATGTTAAGATAAGTATGAATTATAGTTTTTTTTAAATATTAGGTACAAATGCTTACGAGTATAATATTTATATGTACGAGATTTAAGTAGAATCAACAGACTTTTAGAATTCCATCTATTGGTTAATGAGCATTACTATGAGGAAACAAAATCTTATTATACAGAACACTTAAAAAGCATTTAGAACCAATAACTAAAGAAGAAAGAGCACTTAAAGCTTGAAAAATTACTTCTTAAGGCGTAAAGATCCTTCACAATAATTTCTAAGGGTATATTAAACAAATTGAGAAAGTTTTTTTAAATTTCCTATACAAAGTCTTCTTAGTTACCTGTGAATCAATTAATGTATCCGGTTGATGTTTAGCTGGTAGTCTTAGAGCTACTAAGTATGCCAACGTTAATAATTAACCTCAGTGAAAAGTGTTTGGCAGCTGTTTAAACAATAAAGTTCTATAAAAACTGGCTTGTACTTACATCCTGTTAAGGCCGATTAGAAGCGTATATGGGATGACAAACAACACCAATCGGAAAATCGGTAGATTTAACTGAATATATGGAACATCTCTATTAGGCAAAAGGAGACCTTAGTTTCCAATCCACTAGCAATATAACTTAAATACCCTTTTTACATATTCTGAAACTAAGGAATTTTTATGTTTTTCAGTATGGGACTCTTGAGTAGTGTGCATACGTGGCTGCTTCAGCGATGGAATCCAGGATATCCAGTTCCCACGACCAGGAAGTTACAACTGAGTCTCTGGATTTGAACTCTACGGTTCATATTTTCCCTACTTATGTCTTACGATAGCAGTATAATATTATGTGCAGTTTGATAGGATCCGATGAACCCTATCCTACGAAGATATACTCAAATGACCTGAACTTTCGTGAAGCTTTCCTTCGAAGAATTCTCTCAGTGTCATTGAAGTATGTACTACGAAAGTGATAAGAATGGGAAGAAAGGATGATGATGATAGCAGTGCTCACCTACAATAACTTCTACAGTTGGTACAAAACTCTATGGATCAAGGAGATTTATTATTGACCGCTGCACACAAATTCAGTAGATCTGGTGCTTTCATCAGACCTGACAAACCTCTCGAAGATATAAAATATCTGAATTAAATACAGGCACCAAATTGAGAATATCCTAAACCCCCTAGTTTCTGGACACTCAGGTCTTGGATGAGGATGATATTGAGATCTATATGGGTAAGCTACTCGAAATAGTTCTCTTAAGAGTGATTTGAAAAATATCTGTTACAAATGCTGACTGGTAATGTTCTAGACTAGACGATTTTTAGATTTACCTCTAACACTAACTTTCTACGTAGTTGTTTTGCATACAACTGCAATGTCTCTCATCACAATCCACTCATGTAATGAATCCCACGACTAGTCTTTCCCAACCTTCACACAATTAAAAATAAAGTTAGATTGCTCACTGTCCTTGCTATCTGCTATCTGAGCCACTCGTATATATTACTGAATTGCATGCCTACAATACACCGTACTTCATTAAGGTGAAATAAATAAGTTCATATTAGGAAAGCTGAATTATACATAATGGTTGATTTCACTTGATACACATTCATTTCAGAACGATGAGTTACACAAAAAAAAGGTATAAGGTTAGTAAAAACCTCTTTAGTTGAGCCATACAATGATGAAATAAAATCACTCATCATAAGCAGGATCTCTTTAATAATAAATAAAATAATATGACTAGTCGTACTTATACAATATTCACATTTCTTTCCTTCGGCCTGTATGACACCTCACCCACAAAACAATACAGGACTGTTACGTGCTAAAAAGAATACACTTATGATGCTCCAGTACTCTTTTCACTCATCATTAAATTATCGAAATTTTCCTCCCTGTGACACAGAACTGGTGTAGTGAAGAGAAGACTGGGGATACCTACTGTCATATTTTCCACTTCCCATTTTGGTGAAATATTTACTGCATGACTTTGACTATTATCACAAAGAAGTGGATCCTTCACTTTCCAAGCTTTTACTCATGATTCTGACTACTGTTCTGAACTATTTCCATCCGAATGCACTAGGGGTCAGTTTCGAAACATTCCATTTTCTATGTATGATGTCAGTTAAATCACTGTGACTCAGAAAAAAGGATAGTGAGCGACCAGACTTTACCTTTTATCCTACGGAAGCTGGGGGCGGCCGGTTGACCAGTCGAGTAGGTGAGATTATGTATACGAGATGTGGCAGCTATGTGCGAAACATCAAAAATGTCCATGACATTGAAATTAGGCTTTACGAGATGGGCTCATTAGTAGATGAATAAAGTTAAGCTATTGTGGATATCACGCAGGCGTGGTTTGTTGTTGCCTTCAATGAAATGCCTAAGTCATCTGGGTGCATATAAGATGCACTGACGTGCAGGGATAAAAGTGGTTCTATATGTTAAGAATTGGCGTCATATGAATTTTTGGCAATCTGTAACACACAATGGTAGGACCTATTACGTTATCAGCTGGTTTAATTTATCGCATTTGAACTTGCCACTTCAGTGACTTTGTTCTGGGTTACCCTGAGAAGTGAAGCAAATGCATCCACTACGCCATCATAAAGAATTTTAATCCACGTCGTGTATACTTGTCTTAATTATGCTTTCCAAAGTCCACTGATAAATGTGATGGTAGGTTACTCCTAACTGTTATGCAGGACACCTCTTTAAAAAATGTCTCTTAGAAAACATGGTTCGGTTCTACCCAAAGCTCATCACCACTGAAACCAACGTTCACATATGAGGATGGTAGCGTACATGATTTTAATATCCTACTTTCTCTAGCAGTTGATGAATACAGGCTGTCGTCTTCCATGACAACAATTAATGATATGGTTTATATCAGCGTTCAGCTTCTATGGAACAAACTACATGCGTACGCCACAGGATTTATGATGCATGCTGCATTCGTAAACCGGTCGGATGACGTTGACTGGTGTATTGATGACTGGTGGCTCAAGTTCGAGGAAACGATCGGAGTAGCTACATCTGACTACAGCCTTAGATGGCCTCTGTAGATCGATTAACTTCCTTCTATGGCTTAGTGGATAGATTGAGAAACTAATCAAGCTTCGAAGGAGCTTATAGAACCCATTCATTACCAATGACTATGTAAGTCCGTAACAACGGATTCCAGGAAAATATACGGAAAGAAGCCAGTCAGGAAACTAAGGGGTTGCTTTGAAATCAAGAAAGGAGAAGGAATAAGTGATGCTGTTCCGCCTCCAAATTTTACTAAGGGTGTGATGAGGAGGGCTGAAAATGATGTAACTGGGACGGAAGCCCTGTCTCTTTAACTAAACGGATTTTTTTTCAAAAAATGCAGCCAGGGTCTGGTAAATTTCTCACGGGTATGGGAGGATGGAGAAAATGCTCATGGAAAAGAAGGTTACTTCACGAAAAATTCAAAACCTAACCCTTGTTAAGTCAAAGGATCCGCACAATGTTGGTCTGCACACATTACCATTACTAAAGGAAATCATTTTCGAACTACATATCTGTTGTTTAATATACTCCTTTTTTAATTGAAGTTACTGGGTAATGGAAAAGATGCTATTGTAAGTATGGTCTTCAAAACTGGGCTTAGACAGTTCGCAGTTAATCATAATACAGTGGGTTTAACTAGTATACTTTTCCAACTACCAAGATGGATCACTGTTACTTTATTTGACAGCGAGTTTAAGGTAATAAACTTTTGACCGGGCAACAAGATAGCTTTAGAAACAGCCATTCTTGTTTGACTAACCTCCTCATTGCAATATCACAGTGCAGAACAGCAGCTAACGCCAGCAGTTTTATTCCTGAAGTGAGCTATTTTCAGAAAAGCTTTTTTCGGAATATGTCATTCATGAATTTCAAGACAGTTATATGTTTTTTTCAATTGTTCTGTGGGAGGGGCCTTAGAATTATCTTAGAGACAAAAAGCCGAAAGTAACGGCTAATGGCGTCCTGTTCAAAACACTGTACCTTCAAGTAATACAACACACCCTGCTCTTTTCTAACTATATATCAGTTAAGTACCGTTAGAAATCGATTTGTCTTGTCTCTTGCCTCTAGAAGACATCAAACTCTTTATATTTATAGGCAGTGAAAGGAGCAGGTTGGCTTTATAATAAGACCTTAGTAAAATGCTGTGGAAAATAGACGGTAGAGGTTAACGCAAATATCAGCATAGCTATGCACACTTATCATGACAATCTGGACGGCTACCCGGCTACTAGCGCTCCACCCCCAAAGTTTCGGAACCCAAAGATTTAAGATCTATCTTAACTTCCGATACTAATGACTGCAGCAAACCACGGGGTCAAAGATTGAACTGTTTTCAAGTAGTATAGTCTTGTAGCGTCACATACTTCTTCACAACTAACAGCTTCGGGTTCGAAGAGATTCGACATTGATTCTGAGTTTCATAGTTTTACCGGACTCGCCAAGCTGAAGGCACCCGGTCAAGCATCTACGCCATTCGGCACGCTCTCGTGCTACGCTGCAATGCTCGTAATCGACCCTCTAGCCAGCTAGTCAAAGCCCAGCGGCATTTCGGCACGACCTCACAAATATACTATTCCATCCGAATACACTATTATATTGTTCCTTTGTGTAGTATTCGTGGGTATATAACAAGTTCGAATAATGAGTGATTGTTCTCTATGTCTGCCACGTTTGCACAAGGATAGTTCCTAAAGTATACATGCCAAAAATCTGAATGCTTCAGCGTAAATATATTTCTACATTGTACTTAATATGTATCACCCCTTATTTGGAATATAAAGTGAGCATTTAAGAATGGTTCTGTTGACACTCCCATTAAACCAACTATACTTACTGCTTTATTCTGAAAAGCCATTTAGAGAAGGCACAATGCTGTTGATGTGTAGATCAAACAAGGATTTACAAGCCAGTTTACTCTATCTTCTCCTATCCAGAACAGATCACTTGAGAGCCTGTCACATTTAAGTTCGAAAATCACGGTCCAGTCGTCTTCATCTTGGAAGTCCACTTACGCTATTGTGTTCAGAGTCAGAAGAATTCTGTAGCAAGGCACGCGTTTTAATTACCTTCTGCTAATTTATTCACAGTAAGAAAAGATCTTCTGTGTACAACAGTTCTCGAGGTTTAATGAAAGACTCACGCCTGAAATTATTATTTCCAGAGACTGTAATGAAAACATCACAGCGCAATGTACCACTTCAGAAGTAACATATTTTTCTTAACACTTTTATAAAACAATTCACATATCTTACGTATATTCACATAGCGAAACCATAATATTTCTATAGTCTCAATAAACATTATAATCATGTAAATATCTCCCTAATTATCCATCCTCACTTACAGAATTATATTTAAATATTGGTTCTGATAGATCTACAAACCAACAAATTTGTAAGCACTCTAACCACAGCTAAAATAACCTACGTAACTTTTCACTATTCAAAAATTGCTATGAAGACGAAATGTCCTGCTCCAGATATAAGTGAGAAAGAATAAACTTATTGCAATCAACCCAATAGATAAAATTTATTCTAACTCTTTGTCTTTTGCAGAAATACGTTATTTTATTCATGATTTAACACTCTAACTGGCAAAAAAAGCAAATGAGTCGGCTATAATTTAAAAAGTCGGAATTAACTGTCTAAGTATTTGCAATGCATCTATCGCAAGAAATCGATTACTTTACACCAAAACCTTACGTGACTTTGCAGAATGTACACAAAGGAGGACTGAAAGCCAACATAAATAAGCACTCATTATAGAGCGGAAGGAAAGACCTAATTCCGCGCTATAAACATTGAAAAACTAAGACCTTGAAGATTGCCATGATAAATCAAACACTGAAGAGTTTCTGCTATATTGACGTTGAGCATGCATTGATTGAAAAACGTTTAATTTATTATTCTGATCATAAATATGTCTTATATAAACTAACTCTTAAGTATACTGAAACAAAATTTGATTCGTCTGCTTTGCAATTACGGTATCAAAATATCTCTTTGTGCTTACTTATAGGTCTCACTGAACATTTCAAGGTAGTTAGAAGATTTCTCTGCAACAAATCCCGCCACTCCCCTGCTGTAGAACCAGCGACCCCTTTAGGTGTTGGTTAAATCTATGGGGAGATCTATGACTTGTCCTGCTACTGTAGCGCAGATATTATTTTATCCCTTGGGTTCCTAGTGGAACATAGAGCTTCAGTAGCACGTCTCCAGTGCACTGTGTCCTCTGCAAACGTTTGAACCTGGCCCCACAACAGCCCACAAGCTCTCATCTCTTCCTCTCACGATCTCCTCCATGTCACCCTCGGACGCCCAACTCGTCGTTTCCCATCTGGATTCCACTAAAGTGCCTGGAGCGTGATACCCCCAGTCAGCCTTCTCAGTGTATGCCCAATCCATCTCCACTTTCTTCTTTTGCATATTTACTGGTGGATAGGTTCTTGGTTGGCTCGTTACCAGCCAGAGCTCCTTGTTGCCCATTCTTTATGGCTATCTGAGCTTCAGTAACGAGACCGCGTAGGCAGTTGTTGATGAATGTCTGTAATTTGCTAGGAATTTTCTACGTAACGCGCCGTCTCTGAACCATATAGCGGCACTGACTTGACGCTGGTGTTGAAAATCCGGATCTTGTTCCACAAGCTGAGTACAGAAGATCTCCACACTGGTTTCAGGCTTATGAACGCCTGTCTTGCTTTTCCGATCCTGGCTGGCTTTGACGTCCTCGTCTGTGGTGACTGTAGTTGAAACGTTGCTGCCTTGATAGGTGAAAGAGGCCACCTCCCTCAATTTTTTCCCGTTGATGGTGACTGGCGATTGTTGTTCATGCTGTTGTTGGTTGGGTATCTTCATCACCTGTCCTCTCCACATTCACTTGAAGTCCCGTCTTCGCTTCCTCGCCTCGTCTCACCTCTTCTATCAACTTGTTAATTTTTGCCTGTAGATCTTCAAGTTTGTGTGACATTAGATATAAGTCATTGGCGAAATCCTAATCTTCCAGGTTCTATTCCCCGGTCCAGCGTATCCCCGTCTTCTCGCTCCTCACTGCTGGTTGCATGATCCAGTCGACCACAATCAGGAATATCATGGGTGATAGTGGACAGCCTTTTCTCACTCCTGTCTCCTATCTTCACTTCAAAGGCGTCAGTGAGCTTCCCACTGTGAATTACTTGGCATGTGGCGTCTTCATACATTTGTTGAGTGAGATTGGTAGACGTTTGCGGTATTCCGTAGTGTTGAAGCAACTGCCTGTCGAATTACTTGTCAGCCGACGCTGTCAAGGGCCTTTTCAAAGTGGATGAAGTTGAAGTACAGTGTTGACTGCCATTCTGTACTCTGTTTTATGATGATGCGTAGGATAGCGTTGCGATTTGGTCCGCACACAATTTTCCTTCCTGAATCCAGCCTGCCTGTTCCGGTCGTAGTTCTGAATCTAGCGCATTGGTTGGTGTCCCCAAGAAGGTGCGACTTACTGTTTTGCTTGCCCTGGGTGGACAGGAGCCAGTTCTTGTAGACGCCTAGGTTCCCCCTCTTTCAATCAACCGGCAGGCAACTTTCCTTCCTTACACACCTTCTGCAATAGTGTTCTGAGCACGTCCTCTGTCGACTCTCCGTCTGCTCTAAACGCTTCTGGTGGGGTTCCGCCTGGCCCTGCTGCTTCCCCGCACTTCAGCAGCTTTATGGCGCTCAGGACATCCGCTGTCGTAGGAGGGCTTGTGTTCACTCGTGGTCCTGTGACTGCAGGTTGTATTTCCGGACGAAGTGCAGGTGGTGGTCGATTCAAGAGCTTCTTGAAGTGGTCAGTCCATCGTTTCCTTCGTTTCCCATCTTCGGTAATTAAATTTTCGTCATCATCTTTTATTGGTTTCACGTGTGTTGATCTCTTCCCTGATAGCAACCTGGTTATTTGATATAATGTTGTCAGGTTTCTGTCTCTCCTACCTGCAGCCTGCTCTACTTCGCTTGCTAATGTGTCGTTGAAGTGTCTTTTGTCTTTCCGTGCACTCTTCTTCACTTCTTTGTCCAGTATTTTTTTACATTGTACTCAGTCCCTCTGGTCGTTGGGCATCCTTGCACTGGTTTGTCTTCTGCTTCACCGTCCTCCTCCCCCTGCTCAATCAGTTTCCATGTATCCATCGGGATCCATTCCTTATCTTCTTTCTTCTTCCTTCCTAATACGGTTGTGCGGGTTTCTTTCCACATCTCTTTCAAAGACTTCCAGTGTTCTTCCACACAGGTTTCTTCAGGGATGTTCCTCGATATCTCCCATTTTGTCTTGATGGCTGGCTGACGTGAAGATTTCCTTTGTAGTTTCGTCCTTCAGTTCAGTTTCTGTTCTATGTATTGTACTTGAACTGTGGTCTATCACCAACTTCCTTGAAGACTTTTAACTTGATTTGGAAGGTTTGTTGCATTAGATAGTGAATGGTGTTAACCTACATCTGCTCCTCCTCTTGACATTGTGTCAAATAGGCTGCGTTTCCACTTTCTTCACATTGAGATGAAGTCGATCTGATTTTTACTTTATCCATCTGGTTAAATCCACTTGTAGCGCAGATGTGCGCAACCAAAAGCCCTTCAGGCTTGTCGTAAAAGAAAGGAGAGGAGGTAGGTGGTAACCAAGAAAAACAACGGACAGGTTGTAGGGAAGGGAGAGGGAAATCGAGGAGAACTTGGTGAGTACGAGGAAGAAAACAGTGAGGCGGATAATATGGCTGAAAAAGTTAAATTATAGGGGGTAAAAGGGAGGGAAGTGACCGAGTAAAACTGACGAATTGATAATGGAAATGGAAATACCAGTGACATAATGGATGAGATAGTAACTGAAGAGGTAAGACATCTGATTACGTGGCGGACGAATTTGCTAGGTCCACATTGATGATGGCAATAGAAACTAGTTGATATGAAAACAACCGAGACTATTGAGCTGATACACGCCAGTCTTTTACTCTGGCCTAGTGCGCATCCAAACCTGATGAGTGCCAGCCGTGTGTTACCACGTATCTGTTCGATCGTCCCTTGAAGCTATCGAAAGATGGGGCAGTGATTGCCCTAGCTGGTGCATTCACGTGGATGTAGACCTGGAGACAGAAGATGAATGCAGGTTTTTTCTCTTTGAGGGTGGATTCTAGAAAGGCTGCCATAAGGGTTGCTACAGTAATCGACATGAAAAATCCCTTCATTCAGGTGACTTAAATCACAGTCTTACAAGCTCCTCTCCCTGTATATCTTGTGGCGACTGAGAGACGTAATCTTAAAATGCATCATTTCTTTCTTTCTCGTCTTAACTTTGCCCCTACGACGAGCAATGATACTCACGCTCCTGGACAAGGGAACTAGTAGCCTACTTATTCTGGACGTGGTAGCCAGTCGGTCAAGATATTCTTTCATCCTATCAGTAGCCTTGCCAAAACCATTCTAAATTCCTTTTAGCCCATCCGTTAAATTTTTCTGATAGGCTGGCAGCCTTCTTTGGGTGTGGGGGTGAAACAAATTCAGCAGCCTCAAGGTGAAGTCACAAGTCAAGTTTGTGGGGCCAGAATGGGACCTTTAGGGTGAGGGCACTTAGTTCACCACGCACAGAAAGTCATATAGTATGTGCCTCACAGCATCTCCAGCGAAATTCAAACTGAAACCCAGGATGTCAGTCAAGAACAAACCCTGGTCCTTTTCAAGGACTTCGCGAGAAATCTTAGAAGTGAAAAAACAGTGAAGTGCTCTTCGCGAGTTGGCAGCGCGGACGAACACTTTCCAACGCATTTCTAGTGCGATTGTTTCTCTCTTGGTTTCCACTCCCTGTCGTGCGTTCCAAAGTCGTCCTGGGAAGAATCTGAGTCTACCCGGGATCCCATCCCCATCTTACCTAAGGTTATCACAGAACGTCAGAAATCGACAGCCTAGACCCCATGGAATTCAGCCTGCGAAAGGTGGGGAGAATGGAAGACCCAGAATTGCTCCTCGTGATTTGCCAAGGGAGAGTACTGGTTAAGGTGTGTGTAACCTGTTGATCTCAGTGAGGAATCGTCTGCGTTCTCATCAGACCCCCACTCTGAATGGCAAGAAATCGATAAGCACACCAGTGTTTTTCAGTAGAAGGGTAACATCTGGGACGGAGTCGAAAGACAGGCAGGCCCATACAAAGTAAATGGACGGAAAATTGAAGACCATGGTACTCTATCCGGTTGTCCCAAGCGACCACCAGCTTAGAAGTGCACCCTTTGTGAGGCTTTGACTCACCTCTTGAAGGGCACCCGTTCTTTCCAAGCGTTCCCTGATTCCCCGTTGTAGTAACCTATTATTGACTTGATGTAACCTGACTTTTATATATATATATATATATATATATATATATATATATATATATGAGTTCGGATGGTTAAACGACGACCTTCAGGCTCCGCTCTCGACGGTTGCTTGCTTCCTCGGTAAGTGGAAAAGTCGATAAGTTACCGGAGGTTATATTGCGACCTCCAAATACACACAAACTACAACCGCTTATCTGCATTTGTAATGGCCCGTACCATTTCTAGACCTTTCTAGATTAAGGTATCCCATTGATTTTTGCCTGTTCGATCAACTCCTTGGCGACAAGTGATGCTGAGGCCCCTGTGGACAGGACGAAAGCACATTTAAGTGGTATCATCATTCTGTATACAAATGCACGTAGTCTCCCAAACAGGCAGACGGCACTTAGTAATGTAATAAGCAGGGAAAGCCCTAGCATCGCTGCTATCTCAGAAGCTTTGCTCTCCTCTGAAATGAGTGGCAGTGGGACATATTTGCGAGAATT